GACACAAACAAAAATTAGTCGTGGATCTGTCCCTAGTGTCGGACATGCATCAAAAATAATAGAGGGCCTATAAGGAATAAGTGCGGCCTGCAGGCGACACACAGACACCTAAAAAGAAAATGGGCGTGGCTCTGCCCCTGGGGCTTGGGCATGCACCAAATATACAACAGGGTGACCTTATGTATAAGAAATAAGTATGCAAAGTTTCAAGACGATTTGTTAATGGGGAAGACCAACGATTTTCAACAAGTTTTCCATAAATCTTGAATATATGTTGATAATAATCCCCTCTGTAACACAAGCAAAGAAGTTGTTGTAAGCGAGAAATTAATTTTTGCTGCTGTATTTTGTTCACGCGACGTTGTTTGGATGAGAATCCAACCAAAGGGAATATTATGAATATGGAATTATGATTTTTTTTAACGTGTAATACACAAATGAGACGCGTACGATCACCCCTACTGAACAGTACGTCGTGGACCAATTCACGCCACCATAGAGAGTTCAGTCCCAGCACCCCCCCCCCCCTTGGATTCGCCTCTGCAGTATATTTGGTTAGGCTGAACTCAACCCCCAACCCTTTTGAAAAATCGTGTATCCAACCTTGTGATCAGCCTCGTTCTGGACAAAATACCTCGTTCCAAAAACATGGCAATTTTAAAAAAAAAATGCGTTTTGGAACTCCAGACAAACGTGGCATTTTGTTTTTACCACGTTAGGCCTACAACTTGGCAAAATTTATTTTAATACGTTTTTGCCACGTTTGGACAAAAATGCCGAACGAGGCATTCTGAGGTTTATAGTACGTTACAATGCTTTATTGAGAACGTGGAACATAGAAGCCTTGCAAGCAGTTTAATAGTAAAGCTGTAGAAACGAACTAACCTGTAGTTTTATTTTACGTTTACAAAGGGAACACAAAAAGAAAGTCCGGTATTATTACATCGTTGCTGCTTTAATTTCAAATAAGAGGTACAGAAGCCGTATGCATTCAAAGTACCGATCAGAAATCCTGGCCCATAGATTATGTAGCTGTATCGCGAATGCTGAATGAAATAGGTCTAAAAATGCTTGGGGTCTCGCCGCTTTTACCAAACATAATAATAATAATAATCGTTTTCTATAGCGCTGAACATTCAGTCAGTCTGGCTGCTCTGTGACGCTTTACAACGTAGATATGATTATAAAAAAACCATACATATACAAATAAACAAAATAATACAAAGGAATAGTCAAGTTACAATATACAAATGTAAAGTGAAGCATTTAAATTATAGTTGAAAAGTTTGGGTAAAAAACGGGTTTTTAGACGTCGTTTGGTGCTGCGTACTGGACATAAGGAACGTAAGGAAGGAGAAAGCACATATTGTTTAATCAAATCGGATAAATAGGGTTATGCCAAAAGATCGTTTAAACAGTTTAAAGTGATTGTGTATTCTTCAGCAAAAATAATGCAAAATTTGTCAATGCACTCAAAAACTTTATTGTTTCTGGTCCAGGTAATACTTTTCTGGATGTGTGATGGATTTTGTTTAATAATCTTGCTGCAGATTAGTGTGGTTGCTGTTTTGATAAATCTCTTCTGGTCGAATTCCAAATCCCCTTTTCGTGAATTATCATAACATTGTCGAAGAATTGTCCCACTTCTTCGTTTAATCATTACGTCTTTTCACATTGTCTGTCCATAATACATAAGATTTACTGAACGCCATAGAAAACGCATCACTTAGTTTTTCGTATAACAAAATGATCCTGTAAACATATCTTCTTTATTTTGCTTTTTATTGTGAACAGTATTCAAATGGGAACACATCAATAACAACACATTTGTACACTTATGGATGTTTAATCTGTAATCAAGGGTACTACAAAGTCAGGGGGGTCATCATCACGGTAGGCTACAGCATTAACGCGACCCCTGCAAATGTGTAGGGCGGTCCGGTGATGAAATGTGAAGCCCCCCACACCATTACACTCCCCCACCCCATCGATTCGTTTCGAAGACGCAGCAGTCTGCAAGACGTTCCCCAAGACGTCTCCACACACGTTGACGGCTATCAGCGTGATAAAGATGAAAGCGACTGTCTGGTGTCCTTGAGCCCATATCAAACGCCGCTGACGGTGATGATCAATGAGGATAGCTCCAACATAAGGTCGTCGTGCACAGAGTCCTACTTCTCTTAGACGACGTCTTACGGTGTTGGCACTTACTGGTCCTTGTCTTCCGACGACTGCTGCACCTGTTCGAGTCGCTGGGCGGAATCTGTCACGCAGATGAGTGACCCGGATGTAGCGGTCTTGAGCCTGGGTTGTAACGCGTTGTGGACCAGGACGTTGACGATCACGTGTTGATGTATTTTTACTCTGTGTCGACCCTTTATATAAGAATCCAGACGTAGGCCGGTCACCTGAAGGATGTAAATGTAATTATCATTTCTAATATAGTTGTTCGCATCGCCCCGCTTTGCATGTCATTATATAAACATAAATTGTGTCTATTTCATTTTTCGATGGATTTTAATTTAATTGCTTTTGCAATTTTTATACATACAACTGAGTGTCAATTACATAAAATTTCACGAGATATATTAAATATAATATTGTTTATTATATAAAAAAAAAGGAACAGCATATTAGTAATTAATAATATTCGAAGGACTTAAAAACAATTATTGCATTCGCTCCGCTTTGAACTTGGCTGTTTTTCATTTGGAGCAAAACAGTAGGACGTTAAACCCCATTTCATTTCATTTCATTTCGTTTTTCATTTCTCACATCTCTTTGATGGAAATAATGTATGAACATATGAAACTGCAACAAAGAATATGTAACAAACTCTTTTATGCAGTGAATGTCATCTCTAGTCGACTTTGACTTGTGGTTTTTTTCTCTACATAATCGCTTGAAAGTGTCACCAAATAATGTTATGCTGTCCTCGATACGCTCGACGAAACTTTGGTTTGGCTGACCCCCCCCAACCCTTTCGAAAAATCATGTATCCAACCTTGTTTAAGAGCCTCGTTCTGGTCAAAATACCTCGTTCCAAAATCATGGCAATTTAAAAAAAATACGTTTTGGAACTCCAGACAAACGTGGCATTTTGTTTTAACCACGTTACAACGTGGCAAAATTGTGGCAAAAATTTTATTAGCACGTTTTTGCCACGTTTGCACAAAAATGCCGAACGAGGCATTCTGAGGTTTATAGTGAAGCTAGGAATATCAGAGTGAGTTCTGCTCAATTTCACTCAACACCCTAGGCGTTTATTTCCTTCCCAAATATGGAATAAGCACCCCCATTCTCCTCAAACCAGAACTAGACCCGCCAAGTTTGTTAACTAATTCACCCGATGCCAACTTAAAGATTGAAATTCATAGTCAACGATTCGAATGAACCTGAACCAATTGCATACTTGACACTACAGTCCCTGAAATCGTCAATAAAGAAGAATTGTTAGCAGAAGAATTGTACAGTCCATAATTAAAATCCAGGTCTATCAGAAACCAAGTAAAATATTCCTGTTAAAACCTTTACAAACTGATGAAATACAGTCCGTGACAGGTGGGCCTAAGCTCATTAAAAAAAAAGTGGGCCTAAGCCTATAAAGAAAAAAGAGAAAGAAAAAAGAAAAGATAAAGATGGGGGAGGACAGGAGAAAGAAAAGATAGGAAAAAAATGACAAACAACACAAAAAAAGAAGTGTACTAGAATTCTCAAATTCATCTAATGATAGTGCTCTTAGGTCATTCTGTTATCTAATTGTATCAGGAAATCAAACATTTGCCTTTTTCTGCTTTGGTCTGAAATGCTTGGAAAATGTGTTTGCGGTTTTCAATTTTTAAAATTTTCCTGGGGGGAGGGGAGAGCCCCAAAGACCCCCTCGGACTGCGCTCGTGACACGCCTTCGGCGGGTACTTGTGTGGGCCTTGGTCAATTACCTGACAGGTGGGCACTGATGAAATATATGAATTGTTTGACAAGTAATACATTTTCACCCTCTAAACTCAACCATCCGCGAGAAACTGGATGTTTATGGTTCCAGTGGCGGCCATATTGGATTTATACTAATTATTGGACGTATGACGTTACGACGGTGACGTAATTTGGCAATGTTTTTCTGATTCTTTGGTAGCACTTTCCTATCTACCAGTAATACATTTATACCCTCCAAACTCATCCATTCCCGAGATATTGGAGTTTTAAGGTTCCAATGGCGGCCATATTGGATTTATGCTAATTGTTGACCTTATGACGTCACAAGAAAGTCACCTGGCATCGTTTTTCTAGTTTTTAGGTAGCACTTTCCTATCGACTCGTAATACATTTACATCCTCCAAACTCAACCATTCCCGAGATATTGTAGTTTAAAGTTTCAATGGCGGCCATATTGGATTTATGCAAATTGTTGGTCGTATGACGGTATGACGTAACAGGGACGTTATTTGGCTTTGTTTTTCTGAGCCATCTGTACCACTTTCCTTTCTACCCGTAATACATTTACACCATCCAAACTCAACCATTCCCGAGATATTGGAGTTTTAAGGTGCCAATGGTGGCCATATTGGATTTATGCTAATTACGCGAAAACCTATCTTTTTATTTTGGGCGATTTTTGTTTGGGAGACCTTCAGGGACCCCTTTACCAGATTCCATCGAGAAAAATTCTGTTGCAATTTGTTCTAGGTATCCACTCTATATGGCTTATCTTTACCTGACTATTAGTTTCATAGGAGCTAGTGGGGCCACATCAGGGCTTCCATTTCAAAATTTTCACTGTCGGTCATTTTTGATAATACACGAAAACTTTGCAAAGTAAATTCACATTCTAGTGACAAGATTTAAACCTTGTCAATGTCTCTAAACAATATGATAGACTTAAATGAAACATAATTGGTATGGTACTTGGGTGATGATAAACCATGGCCCAATAAATGGTTTGCTAAAAAGGAAAGGAAGTGGAGTGGGAGGGGTTGTAAATAAAAAAAACAACTTTTAAAACATTGTTTTTTCTGATTCATATAAACTAACATACATACATACATTATTTACAAAACAAAAATCCTATATTATTATTACATGTCACTTCACCAGGGTCATCTGGCTCCAACACACATGCCTACAATATATATATTGTATATACATATAATAATAATAATAATCCACAAGATTTTATAAATTCATGATTCTCTTATTCACACATGACAATTAAAATAATATAGTGTAATTTATTAAACATTTTCAGCTCTATATATGAATTTATAAACATGAAAAGTTTCCACATAGTACTTCTAATAATATGGAAAGAGAACCAACCACATTTTGAATATTAGTATAGTATAAATATCTTTAGAATATCTGGTTCTAGAAGTGGTGTATGTAGGATTTCGAAAGATGGGGTGCACAAATCAAGATATTCCCCATGGAAGAGTTTAACATAAGTTACATACACACTACTACAGACAAAAGTAACAAAAATAGTTATTATTTATGTTGTGCTACTGCCAACTCAAACTTTAAATATATTGTATTTTGCAATGAGTGCACTATCATTTTTCAGTGCAGAATAAACTGACATGTGAGCCAATTTTAATACATATATGTTTCTCTAAGTATAAGACATGACCAAAAGCAAATGAATTACAAACGTATCATGTAAATACTTTACATCACTAATCCACACACAAAAATTTTAGTTGAGCTTAATTTACACCATTCAACATTTTTAATAACATGTAATGTATGATAATCATAACAACTATTAATATAAATGCATTTTAATATAGTGGAGTGAATAATAACTATTTGATGAATTATCAAAATCGACTGTATCCAGATGAGGCTGATCCTTGTGACGCATTACTGGAAGAAAAGTTCATCCCTTGTTGCTGTGATCCAGACTGCATATTGTGAACATGCTGAAAAACAAAACTTTGAATTAATAAATGCATTTTTTAAATTCCCATTTTAATTTGTTTTAAAGATACATTCCTTTGACTATTAGACAGTAATTATTCTAAATTATAGAACATAAATTTGAGAATGTTTTTTTTTCGTCAATCTCTTAAAATGACAAGCTTTCACAATAAATTGTGGATGAACCACATGATGATAAATTGTGGATGCAAGTGACAACATTATAATGGGCATTAAAAAGATTAAGTTCAAAATAATGAAGTTTAAGATGTTTAGGAAAATATCGCCTCATCTCAACAACCCCATGATGTGTAAATTGGACTAAAATGCCTGCATGGCTAACAAAACAATACTAAACTCTCCTCTTTGTCACAGTGCTGACTATGTATGATCCTTACTTGTTCACTTCAGAATAATAATGGTGTACAAAATAGTATACCCCTGTTCACCAAAATGGTATACCATCTATTTAATGGTAGACCCAAAAAGTTTATCAGATAAAAAAAATAGTTTCTGTGGATGCAATAGATGACTCATTTATCTTTGAAGGAATGTATCTTTAAAACAGAAATGCCGATTCTTTTGTTATTATTTTCTTTAAGAAAATAAACATCCCTTTAGATTTAATATAAAGAATTACATTGTGTTCAAATTATGACACAATTATAATATGTCTGTTTTAAAATTTACAAATGGGTTAGACAATATTAACAACAGTTATATACCAGCACATTTAAAATTACAAAAATGTTGCGAATAAATTCATGCTATAACAAAATTACTGAAAATAAAAAACATGTAAGATAATACTACAAGAACATAGTTTGCCAGGCAACGGAACATACCCTGCAGCTAATTCGTCCCGAGAGTTATGAACTAAACAACTCATAAATATTTGAAAAAGATCAGATCATAATTAAAACCTCTAAAGTGAAACCTCAATTTAAAAATAGATATATAAATGGACACATGGGTGTCGCTATACGATTACATTAAAATGTGGGAGTATGAAAAATGGAAAGAGGTCAGATACTTGTATGATTCAACCAGTAATTAACACTCTACATGTAATAATATCTATTAAATCATGTTTACTTTTAAATTCATATATATATATACTGTTACTTTGTTTCGTTCAAAAATTTTCAAACCCTAAGAAGCAGTAACAATAATTCAATATTTCAAATGTGTTCAAAAATGGAATAAAGTTGGAATTAATACTTTCACAAAGAAAATGAAAAGCATTAACTTTATATGACATTAAAAATTAATTATTGGAAATGCTAACACTTGTGATTTGGTGATATATTCACAATCATATTGATAATTCATCAAACTGCTACCACATATTCAGCATTTCCTGATATTTTCTAAACGCTGAGGAAAAAAACCCAATATCAGTCATGCTGAGATATAAAGCTTACAATATATGTACACAGATTCAACACTGTCACAATTTGATCAAATGAGAGAATAGCATTATTGTTGTCGAAAAAGACATTATTTCTTTCTATTTTCTTTTTATTTTTGAGATTATTAGAAAATTACAATCATCTACATGTTTTTTTTTTATAAAGATAAACAATGGCCAGTTTACTTTTTTTTCTTTACATGTAACAAGCTTAAAAAAAGACTTACTGTTTTAAAAGAAAATGGTGTAGTTTGAGTCAAAAGCTTCTATGTTAATATGCGGACTGTAAGAAATAGAAGATATTCTTCTATACGTACAATTAAACTAAATCCCTCCCCCCACCCTCACCCTGCCCCCCAAAACAAACGCAGAATGATATAATAATTAATGAAAGCCTTATTTTGTTGTATGATAAAAAAAAATGTAGTCTTTGCAAATGTTTCTTACATAAGAATGCTTCATGGAAACTATCTTTGGATTTCGAAATAAAATAAATGTTATTTCAAGTGCAGCTTAAAAAGTAATATGGCCAAGATCCTACAATTAACTGTCCAAATTCAATGCTATTTAATCCTTTGTCTAAACTATTTATACTTAGCTGATCCACAGAAAATGATAAAAGGCATGCCTTTCTTACTTGAAACTCTCCCGATACCATATTACTACTACTGGTAGTAACAGGGGGCATAACTCTTACTCTTTTCTGCGGTGGTTGGTCGGAATGGTTTGTATTAGCATTATTCTGAAATGAAGAATGTGAAAAAAAATCTAAGTATTACATTCTAATTACAAAGTATGACTTTCAACATCTTCTCGTTTATATGAACAGTTTATCCTTGTATTTCAGTTAAACAGTTATTATCTACATGTAATGTCAATTTTTTCATATTCTATAGTAAAATTTGTTACGGTACTATTACTATTGTAAATTTATTCATATTTACAGTAATATTAGACTACTAAACAAGCCAACAGTGAGGCTGATTTCCCCCGCCACAATCCCAAAATAAATAGATGACACATACTAACTAAAGAACACATATGTATAATAGTATTATGGCCTTGATTAATTATTCTCCATTGTCAGTATATTAGCTATGGTATGAGTTTATTTAAAACACAAATTTAATTGTTTATGAAATATTGTAAGAATAACAGGAAAAGCGGTTTAAGTTCAAGGATAGATTCTGAGTCTAAAAGCATGTGATCAGAAAGTTACCATTTCATATTTGGCATAAGTGACCAATCACATGATTAATTACATCATAATTAGCCAATAGAATAATTAATGGGTGTGAATCTGAGAATATATAATTAATAGAACGTGCGTTCTAGGTTAGACATCATGAAGATTTGAGAGAGGACACATTGGGTAGAAATTCGTTAGCAGAGACCGTTGAGGTCAAAGTGGCAACATCTGGGTTGAGGGATGAAAATGACTTTAATATAATCCATGCTTGTATTACTATGTATCAAGGCTTAAAGATACATTATGGAAGATTAGATAAAGAGCTGGCAGTTCTCACTATAATAGTTAAAAACTAGATAATGGAAAGGCAATTTGCTGAAAATTTCAGTCAAATTGATCCACTATAAACCAAGAATTAAGCGATTGAAATTTCAGCCTAGCCTTGATCATTACTAAAGTCAGTACGACCAAAAACATAGTCTCAATTTTCCATTTCATAGTTAAATCATGAATGAAAGTTGAGAAGCAAATCGGATTATAATCCAATAAATATCGAGATGACTCGTGTTTTCCTTTGGCGTTCGTCAGTTCAGATTCAGGAAACCTGTATTACTCAGCTATCGTAGCAATGATCTGTGTTAAAATTATATTTGGAATGTGTTGAACCAGCCCTATCACATATGTGATAATGACTGGCACCAATATTGTCCTTTAAGATGCAGTATATTCAATCGCAACGTGAAGCTGTCATTAATGTGGAATGTCAGAGTGACATTTAAAGATAGGTCCTAACCAATTAAAGAATTACAAATGTAACCAGAGACAATACTAGACGATCAAGGGTTGTTCCAAAATATGTAGTAAGAAATTATGCATGGGTTATACGTAGGATGTGGCGACCGGTTTTAGCCGTTGTCCGCTCTCCACGTCTGTCAGACGACCCATGGTGCTACAGTTCCAATGTCTTGACCAATCTAATTACTTATCGCTACTTAGCCTCAGAAGAAAATTCTCGTCATCAAACTTATTCAAGGTATTAGTAAAATGAATCTATACTCTGAGTTTCATCTTTAAGTTTGAACATTCTACCTCATTTAGGAGAGTTATTGTGTTCCAAAGTCTCAACCAATCAAATTGAAGTATCTACTTATCCAAAGCAGAAAATGCTCATCATTGAACTTAGTCAAGGTATTGATGTAATGAAACTATACACAAAGTTTCACCACTTTCACTCACAATCAAAGTTATCGAGATCCATAGTCTCAACCAATCAAATAGCTTATCGCTCTGCTAACTCTGGTTAGAAAATGCTCATTATCGAACTTAGTCAAGGAATTGATATAATGAAACTATACAACAAGTGCCATCACTCTCACTTAATTAGAACCAAAGTTATCATGTCCCAAAGCATCAGCGAATCAAATTGCTTATCTCCACTTACCCTCAGCAGAAAATGTTCATCTTCGAACTCCATCAAGGCATTCACCTAATAAACACCTACACCAAGTTTGAACATTCTAGCTGAATTGGGAGGAGAGTTATTGTGTCCCAAAAAATGTGACTGACTGACAGACAGAACGACGGACAAACAGACTCATTTTAAACATTCATTATCTTGTCACCTTATTATCAGATTTATCTTCATTGTCATCATCACTTATAAATTCTCTTTTAGGATATGGAATGGGAAGACCTTCAAAAACACTAGAAGTAAAATTATAAATCTAAATTTTTCTAATATAACAGTTTCATTAAAAATATTCCCTGTGTTAATAGTATACGCTGCCCACTATTTTGAATTTGCTTGCTGCATTGAAATGTATTGTTTTAAGAAATATCATTATCTATTATATAGATGATATATCTGACTTTGTATGTTTGCACATATATTATAAATGCTAAAAACTACATCACAGAGTATAATGTCAGATATCCATTGAAGACAGAAATTGGTTTCTTTTTTAACAAAATAAATTTAACCTACTCTTGTGAAGGAACGGGATCTTCCAGAAAATACTGATCTTTCATAGCTAATTCTGATGTCATCCTCTTTGTGGGATCCATAGTTAATAATTTTTGCAACTATAAAAAAAGTCATGTTATAAGTACAGGGGAAATTCAAAGGTTAAAATAAACAAGTGTTCTGGAGGTACTATAATTGATAATGTTATACAAAAAATTAGTGCAATGGTACATGGAACAGCAAAAACATGGCAACTTGGTTTCAAGTGCCTTGTGTCTCTCATAACTATATAGCGGTTATGGTGTAAAAATTGAAGTGCAGGATAGGTATATGTATGTCTGTAGGCTGTACTTATCTCATTAATATCAATAAATAATATTACCAGGCTAAATGCTTTACTCTCTGACTTGACTTTATGTTTTTCCATGTATTTCATTAGATTACAATTACCATACCTGAAAGAATTATTCAAGTATAAATAATACAAGAAGATATTAATGTTTTTCTGGAATACAATGTGGTAGAATAATACATGTTCTTTGTATTATCATCCATTTCTCAACCAAATATTGACCAAATTAAGGAAGAGGAATGCTGTTCATACAATGGGAATAGCTGATGTAATGTAAGAAAGAAACATAACCATACACTATAGAATAAACAGACGTAAATGATGTATAGTTTGGAGGGTTTGGTGTTTCGCTTGAGTTTATGAAGTTTGAAGAATTAAAGTAAATAAATGTAAAATACTGAAAAAAGTGCTTGTTAATTATCATTTTATAATGAGTGACTTACGTAGATCTTTTAAAATCTTTCATCAATGTTTGATGTTCAGGCATCTTTCTTATATCTTCCCAATCTTTTTCTGAGAACAAAAACACAATGATACAGCTATTGATGTACATACTACATAAAAATTTGAGGCAGATAAGTAAGGGTAGATGCTCTTTTTCAGTGTTGGTTAACTCACTTTTTATATACCTACACTTAATGTGTACATGTATTGTCGTTGCCTGTCCTTTTTCTTTTTAAAAATTTACAATCTGAAATCTTTGAAATTCAATACAGTTCCTCATGCAATAATGAAAAATCTTACCAAGTTTTTAAATATTCCATTAAGAACTCTGTTTTGAATAAGGTTCACAAGATTTTGTATGCATTTTACAGGGTTATCTTTCTGATCTTAAATTTCAAAGCTTCTGAAGGCGATACAGAAAAAACAAGCCAACAGTGAGGCTGATGTCCCCGGCCGCAATCCCAAAATAAATAGATGACACATATTAATTAATTGCACATTTATCTTTTTGAAAAGTATCAAGCAACAAACTGATTATTTATACTAATCAAAAAATGTTCACGATCGAACTCGGTCAAGGTTTTGAAGTACCTGGTAGTGAAACTATAAACTCAGTTTCATCACTATCCATCAGTTATCACGTCCCCAAAGCATCAACCAATGAAATTGCTTAGCTCTGATTAGCTTTAGCAGAAAAATGTTAATCATTGAACTCCGTCAAAACATTCGCCTAACGAACATCTACACTAAGTTTAAACATTCTACCTCAATTAAAAGCAGAGTTGTTATGTTCTAAAGTCTAGACCAATCAAATTGCTTATTGCTACTTAGCCTAAGCAGAAAATTCCCATCATCAAACTCAGTCAAGGTATTGATATAACAAATCTATTCTCTGAGTTTCATCACTCTCACCCACTTATAACCAAAGTATCATGTTCCAAAGTCTCAACCAATCGAATTGCTTAGCTATGCTTAGCCTTAGTTGAAAATGCACATGATCGAAGCATTCACCTAATAAACACCTACACCAAGTTTGAATATTCTACCTCAATTAGAAGGAGAGTTATTGTGTTATAGTCTCGACCAATCAGATTAAAGTCTCCACTAGCCTAAGCAGAAAATGTTCATCATCGAACTTAGTCAATGTATTCACCACTCTCACTCAAACTATTAATTTGACATTTATTAACATGACAAGACCATAATCAACTCTCGATGCCATTGGATGCTGGAGATTTTAACTAGATTAGAACAGTTCAGCTCAGCCATTTAATGATTTAATTTTAAAGTGAGGCTAAGTCTCGAATATACCAGTACCAAGGTTACGATAATAAACAGTCAATGCATAACTTGGCTCACAATAAAGTAAATTGAATGAAATTTTCAATATATTCATTTTGATTTATCTGTTTTTGAACTATTATAACAAAAATGGTCAGCACTTTATCTAAATCTTACATAATGTATCTTTAACTAAAATGATTGGTACATAAAATTGTAAAATTACCCTGTGGAAAGCCCATTACATTAAATATTCGATCTAGTTGATCATGATGATAAGGATTACTAGTCTTTATATCTTCTTGTCGACAGTGAAATATTGGCTCTGATGTCAACAATTCAGCAAATATACAACCTATAGCCCATATATCTGAAAAATAAATTATTATTCAATACAGTCAAATATTATGAGGTATTAAACAAATAATTTATAATTTAATAGCCCAGTTAAAACCCATTAATGTTATGAGGTGTTAACAAATGAATTATAATCTTTAAGTCCAGGTAAAAACCATACTCCTTGCAGTGTTTCGTTTGATTAGATCTAATCCCACTTAACACTGCTGTAATGGAAGCAAATTTATGTTCTAAATTATGACTGGTCAATAGTCTGATTAACAACCAATAGCTAACTGTGTAACAATATCATTACGCATTCAACAGAGCTCCAAATTAGACCAAATATGTTTACATAACGTTACAACAGAACAGCTCACATTCATAAATGCTCTGAGCAGATTCAGGTAAATACTCATTTGATTCATTCACTCAGTGTCCAACATGCTAATGCTGATACCTGTAACCACTTCAGATATAATAAAATAAAATATATTTAATTTACCAATAGCCTTTGAATAATGTCTTGCTCCAAGTAACAATTCAGGAGCCCTGTACCAAAATGTTACAACAACTGGATCTAAATCAGCAAGTGGTTTTAATGGAGAGTTAAACAATCTAGCAAATCCCATATCAGCTAAAATATGAATAAAAATCAATTTGTTGTTATTACTTCTACTATTTTACATTAATATTACAGAGGCAAAATAAATGCAGTCAGAAATTAACTATGTGTCAGTGTTAAGTTGCAGTCACTTCACAACAAAATAGAACCATTAAGACTAACATCCAATAAATGTTTGCCATTTAATGTTCTATTTACCTCAAGTCAGTGTGTTTTATATGTAATGCAACGGGGTATGTAGTGTTTCCTGAACACACTACATAGCTCATTCTGAGACTAACAAGTGTTCATTTATATTTCTATGGTGATATGTGCTGTGGCAGATTCTGCCAACTCTTAATTGAATTACAACTGCCAAGGGATCTTTATTACCATTTTGTACATTGTGACTTAGATTTTTCATTTTCAACCCATCTGAACAAGAAGAAATTCCCATCAAATTAGTATGTGCATCTTTATATAAAATCTACCTTAAATTAAAAACCGTACCTATCTTGACTCTTCCTCTTTCTGGGCCTTCGCCCATGACTAGAATATTTGCAGGCTTCTGAAATATAATTGAGGAGGTCTTAACTGACTTTAAATTAAAGTTGTTTCAAAATTAAAATATCTAATTATTCTAACTATGGGTATAAAATGCAAGGTACAATATACATTTAAAGATTCATATTATCATTTCTAATTCCCACACAAAGGCATAGTCTTTATTCTTAAACAAAAGTGGTCTATCCAATATTTTGGAATAACTCTAATATATATAGAATATTCCTACCAAATCTCTGTGTAGCACCCAGTTTGCATGTAAATAATGAATACCATCTAATATTTGAAATATCAGTGATTTCACCATATTTCGAGGTATATGTACAGGTTTCTTGTTGGCCTTAGCTGATCTGTGAAACTTGATGATGTGCTGAAAATAAGTTAAAATAAGTACAAAACCATTAAAAGGAACGGGAATGTTATTAAATGTTAAGACAATAAAATCAATTAAAAACATATAAGATTATCAAAAATGTAAAGGGTCTTAAGTCTTACCCATAAATCATGTTCTGCAAATTCAAACAAAAGCCAAACTTTTCTATCTGTGTGTGAAAGAAAGACTTTCTGAAGACTGATAACATTAGGATGTTTCAATTCTCGTAGCAACTTTAAAAGAAAGTAACAGTTCTAATTACATTGTATATTCTTGCTTTAATACAAATATTGACAAAATAAGTAAAAGTTTGATAAATAGATATTTGAAATTGTTAGGCAGGATATAAAGGACCCTGCCCTAGACCCTGTTCTATAGATGTACAACCTCAACTAGTATTTTTTCTATTTGACTAACAAAGCAGACATTTTGTCTAAACAGGAGAGAGGGAGAGAGAGAAATGGGGTTTACGTCCACTTGACACAAACTAGGCCATTTTGAGACTAACATATGGTTCAATTTTATTTCAATAATTCGTTTGTGCGTAGGGGTCTTTAGCAGTGGCAGGCAACCAGAGCCCCGAAGAAAACCCACAAGGTTGGACAGGCGACCCTACTCCTTGTCACTTACAACCAGGGAATTGAAACCACGCCAGTTCCCTCATTTATGATACAACGCACATGTGCTAACCATTCGGCCATCCAACAGGAACTAGTCGATAATAACAGTTGGTATCACTAAAAGAAAAACATTTTTAGGACTGAGATTCAAAGTATTACAAAGAAATTTATTGTCTACATAATCAAACTTACTGCAATTTCTCTACATGCTGACATAGATATACCAGTTCCTTCAATTTGTTTTAAAGCATACTCTTTACTATCAGGACTGAAAAATATAGAGAGAAAAGGGGTTTAACTCCACTTGAACACTTGACACAAACTAGGTCATTTCGGGACTAACATATGGTTCAATTTTATTTCAATAATTCGCTTGTCCGTAGGAGTCTTTAGCAGTGGGAGGAAATGGGAGGACCCGGAGAAAACCCACGAGGTAGGACAGGCGACCCTATTCCTTGTCACGTACAACCAGGGAATCGAAACCACGCCAGTTGACTCAATGACAGACCTATGATACAGAGCACATGTGCTAACCATTCAGCCATCCAGGCCCCCTAATATAAAACAGTCCAGACCAGAATTATCGGTAGTCTACCACGGTAATTCTTGTCCAATATCGTTTCATATTTGCAGTTTTTTTAGTGGTGGGTTATTACTGGTCGAATTCAAAATATACAATTCTATTATTCCTGAAAGTTTTATTTAAATATTTTAAAAACACTTATATGGATATACTACTTCTGAATTTATTAACATGCTATGTTTTGATACACATACAGATATCGTTGTCAAACAAATAATGATAAATAGCAAAAATGTGGTGCAATGAAACCATATAAGAGATTAATTAAGAATTAACAGGATGAGAGAAGTAATAATATGGATAAACAATTACAAAGGATTAACAAGATGAAAGACTGTAATGTACTGATAACAATTAGAAACAAGATGAATTTAGCAGATCAAACTAATAATTATAAGAGATTAACGAGATGAGAGATAGCAAGATATAGATAACAATTAAACACTAATTAGCAGATAAAACCATAATGATAACTACAAGATGAAAAGGGGGGTTAACAGCACAAGCAAGTACGGGAATTAGGGGAAGGAAACCATACACTGATAAAAAAAACACACATTATTTAGGGATTAAATAAATTCACTCTATGATTTGGGAGAAAATGTTCTGAGTCCCTGTTTAATTTTGGCTTATGTTCTGTTCTTGAATTTCTAGCGCTTCTTGTAGAATTCTATTTTCCCATGTTGATAAATTTCTGGCTAGTATTTCTGTATTCTCCCATTTGATTTTATACTTTGGGTTTTGGTAGATGTTTTCTGCTATTGCGGACTTGTTATGTTCTTGTTTTGTAAGTACTGGGTATATATTTTGGGGTATGGGTGGGGTGTGTATTGCTGCCAGAAATCGTATTGCAATATATTGCAATACTTGACAAAAAATATTGCGATGTATTGCAATACTTCGATAAAGTCTGGGTTTATCACAAAGCACAGTTTTATTTTGAATGGTTTTACAACTTTGGTGTTGGACACTTATTGTTTACTGCAAAGCCTATAATATGACCGATAATGTGAATACACATTTCACTGTATTTGTTTTTACAACTTAGGTCTTGCCTTAGCAGACTTATTTTTGTTTACTGCAAAGCTTAAAAAATATGACTGATTATGAAGTGTTTATATACAGTCTAGCTAACATTTGAATATAAAATAAAAGTAGAAAAATATCGATACGGCAAAATTATTAACATCATTCCTTCTCGTTAGGTCATTCGTGGAGGATGCCATTTTGGAAATCAAACTGCCAGTCTGGCAGAAAGTCGGTAGATTACGCACAATCAATTTTGGAAATCGGCCTTGTAAATATGATGGTTCTTTATTTAAACCAATTACGCTAATTTTTGACTTAGATGTGATTTGCAAATCAATTGATCATGGCGATAATCAATCCTGCTGGCCTATATGTGTAAAAAAAATGCCGCCACCTCAAGCTGACAACTCAAGTGGCAAACCTGACCCCCTATATTATTGACATTGTCAAGTTTGAGAATAATTTTGTCAGAATCAAAGTCCAAACTAGAATTTACAATATCATTGGCATAGGCTAGACGTTGACTGGCGGGTTTAAAGACACAGGAACAAAACAATCAAAAAGAGGCATTCAGCAGAGTCAGAACAAACGATCATATAACGATGAAATGTTTTGTTGATTTCCATATAATTAATGGGGATACCTGGCTTTGCTCTTTGCCTTGTATACGTGTCCATAGGTCCCACGTCCGACTTTGCAGCCTTCATATTCAAAGAGGTCTTCAACTTTCGCTCTTTCAGCAGCAGTTTTAACTTTATAATCATAATCCATTCTCCATTTTCTTATTACAAACAAAAAAGAAAGAAAAGGAGAAATTGGAGTTGTCCCCCTTGGATCAGAAATACCCCCCCCTCCCTTTTCAACCCCGCCACTATATAAACCATTTACAATAGTTTCACAGAGATTTTGTCTACGATATCACCTTAGGTGGAAGTGGACGTAAAACCTCAGAAATGAACGAACGAACGTTTCACAGAGGATTACAAAAGTCTTCTAAATATTGTCGCGGCCTAGCGAATATTCACTGCTGATTAGTGTGAACCATTTAGTCTATTAGTATAACATATTCGGGATAGTTTACAATTTCTTTTTGTATAAATCAATCAAGCACTGATTTATCTTTCATCTTTTGGATTTTAAAACATTTACCGGCATACATATTTTTTCCAAAAAGCAAGCTTTTGTCTTTTAAAACTATTAAACAAAATCTAATCTTATTTAATTCATTTTTATACGAAATGCTAAGGTTGTTTTTAAAAAAATGAAGGTGTGACTGGTTGACATCCAATTAAATTGCATACCTGCTGAAAGATCATTATGTAATTAGGTTCAGTAAATAATTATGAAGTCTATAGCAAAGAATTATATTCATTTATTTCTGCATGTAAGAAAGAATTGGGTGATAAATAAAATCTCTTACTCGTCTTTATTGATATCAAAAAATATCAACACTCGTCGATAAAGTAAAAAAAAAAAAAAAAAAAAAAAATTGGCAGAGCCTCGTTATTTTTTACTTTATCGACTTGTGTTGATATATTTTCAAATTAAAAAAAGACTCGTAGGAGATCCTCTATAATATATTCTGCTTTCTGGTCAGTTGAATGAGTATAGCTTTAATTTGGAAAATTTTGGGGTCATATCAGGATGTAGAAATGAAATGAAATGAAATGGGGTTTAACGTCCTACTGACACTGTTCTGCTCCTATGCTGGGCTAATGAAGACGGACATACGCCATACAGTGTGCTATGAGGGAAATTTTGCCCGGGCAGCGGCACTATCGCCTACTCTTATATCGAATTCCAACTGCCAAGGGATCTTTTACGAGGATCCCAATGTATAGACGGGACCTCGGTTGTTCGTCTCATCCAAAGGACTAGACAGCTGTCCTTGTCAGGCCCTCAGTCCTGCATCACTGACAAGGGGGAACCACGCCGGAAAATCTGGATGAACTTTTTCGGCCAATGCAGGGATCGAACACCCGACCTCCAGACTAGCGAGCCAGCGTCTTACCCACTTAGCCACGTGATCCCCATCAGGATTTAGAATATTTCAAGTCGATTATGGACACTATTATTCATCGACAAGAGTTTTCTTTTTTTGCCAGCAGCACAACACAAATTGCAATAGTTATGCATATTCTACGCATCATATCCCAAATTTCAATGATTTCATAAACAAATTATGGATACTCAAAATTTTGACAAAAACGGTCTTGCTAAACACCGACAAAAGCAGGCCTTTAATGTTAATTTCACGTGTCAATAATTTTGTTTTATGAAATTTTGGATATCATACGATGTGTTACATATGCATATCTGTAACATATCATTCCTTTAGGCAATACTTTAAGCGATATTGACAAAATAAAACCCCGCTCTTGTCGGTGATTAAGAAGGACCCCCGAATTTGGTATTAAGAAATAGTTATGTTTTTCTCTCACTGTGTTAATATCCAGAAAATGATAATATATTATGGCCTCCCTGGATAGGCCTATATACCAACTATATATGAGCCACACTCATCGCTAAATAATATTGTCTTACTATATTTTCCCTTGTCGCCTCATTTTTTTTCGGATGGCCAGATCACTAGCAGTTTCTTACCAATCAAAAATGAAATGAAATGAAATGGGGTTTAACGTCCTACTGTTCTGCTCCTAAACCGGGTTAATGAAGACGGGCATACGCCATACAGTGTGCTATGAGGGAAATTTAACGCGCATGTTTTAACCATTTGCACACCTCTCCCCCTCAACCCCTCGCCCCTGACTACGTTGGTATTATCAAGAATGGTGATAAAAAATGGTGGCTTTGAAGTAAAATTTTTCATAAGAGCCCAAAAGCACCCCATCGATGCATTCAGCGAGACAATAGTTGAAGATACTGTAACACGCTGAAATATAGTAGCCATGTTTCCCCCGAACAAATAAAAATAAATACCACAAAAAGACCCCAAGGAATTATTCAGGCGCGGATCCAGGATTTTTTGCAGGGTGGGGGATCTAGGTGGGATAATTGCTTAACTAATTGCGGTGGGCCTAGCCCACCGCGCGAGCCGAAGGCGCTAAACGTTGTAACGGGGGTCTGGGGGCTCTCCCCTAGAAAAATTTGGTAAATTAGGTTCAATTTTGTGCATTCTGACGTATTTCCGGAAGGTAAATTCCAGGTCTAAAAATCGCCAATAAAATCGCATAAAATGTCCTTAAAATGTTGATGGGGAATGCTCCCTTCACAGGTGAGGATTGATCATGAATTTAGTTTATTGTTAATCTCTAAACACACGTGGTGTTACGTCTCACGCAGCAATTGTTTTAAATGCGCGTATAAAAAAGTCTTACGAATGACGACCTGTCGGAAGTATTTTACCTGCACTCTCGATCGCTGTAGTAGGCCTACCTTCCACTGTTTCTCGGTAAGGGCATGTTCCAAGTTCACCTAATAAGACATTCTCTTCAGGTATAATAATAATAATAATAATAAAACATAAGCGGAGAATATGTTATGTATCAAAGTTTTAAAAAAAATCTTATAAATTCCGCTAGCATATTTTTTATCTTTCTTTAAATTTGATCAAATAAATGACCAGGTTTTTTTTCTTATCAACATTGCCGATAAAATTAAAAAGCAAACACAACAATATTCAACGTCAACAGGTGAACAGCGTTAATAAAACTCTTTAAATTTCAATAAACTTATATTTTCATACAGTCCGGTATTAAAAAATTGCCGTCGTCAATAGGCGATTTGCCGTGGGGTCAATTGGTCCCGACGGCAATTTATGTTTTTGGCTAATTGCCAGAGCTGTATGTGACTATTTGTTTTTGCCCACAATGGAATGAAAGTCATGACTCAACTCAATGTATACAAACTCGCAATTTTTGGGTCAGATTCAGGCTTTTAGATTTAAGTTTCTCGGACCCTTCAAACTTTCAAGCCTGAGCTCCGCCCCCCCCCCTCTGGATCCGCACCTGTTATTCGCTCTGATATTTCCATTGATGACTAGGATATTGAATAGGCCGGTTATTATAATCGTATTCCTTGTCCGTCCCTGTGTCTGTTCACATTTGTTTATGTAACTTAAAATATAATTTTCGAATTTGGCACGTATCGGACCGTCATTTCCTAGATTATTGCCCACAATTTTATGAAAATCGCGTTTTTAGCTTGTGGACAATCTAGAGGTCGCAAATTTTATTCTATTTTAAAAACCATTCAAATATATGCTAGAAAATAATCACGGATGTGAAATCGGACAGAAACTTCCCATTAAATCCCCCCCCCCTCCCTTTTACGTAAATACATGTAGTTGCAAAGCATGCAATTGGCCTACATATACTAAGGTTGTGGTCACAATGTTTGTCTGATTTAGAGTAAACCTAACGTTAAAGAAACATTGTGGAAGATTCGATAACGAGATGGCAGTGGATAATGTAAAGGCAATTTGCTGAAAATTTCATTCAAATTGATCCACTATGAACCGAGAACTAAGCGGTTGAAATTTCCGGCTAGCCTTGATCATCATTACTAAAGTCAGTACGATAAACAGCATAGTCTTGATTATCCGTTTAATCGTGAAGGAAATGAAATGGGGTTTAACATCCTACTGTTTTGCTCCTAAACTGGGCTAATGAAGACGGGCATACGCCATACAGTGTGCCATGAGGGAAATTTTGCCCGGGAAGCGGCGCTACAGCCTACTTTTATATCGGATTCCAACTGCCAAGGGATCTTTTACGTGCACGCCAATTTGTACATGGGACCTCGGTTTTTCATCCCATCCAAACGACTAGAAAGCTGTCCTTGTCAGGCCCTCCGTCCTGCATCACTGACAAGAAGAAATCACGCCGGAAAATCTGGATGAACTTTCTCGGCAAATGCAGGGATCGAACACCCGACCTCCAGGCTAGCGAGCCAGCGTCTTACCCACTTAGCCACGTGAACCCCCTAAATCGTGAAGGAAAGTTATGCAGTAAATTGGCTCATAATCCACTAAAGATCGCAGACTAGCGATGCCATCTAGAGTTGATTATGGTCTGGATAGGTTAATTAATGTCTAATTAATAATTTGGATAACATTTCAGTCCTAAAGAAAGACCTGCAATAGACAGATTTAGCTCTTGCATAATGTATGTTTAAGGATCAAAAGATCACAAATAAAATTTCTGGGCGTCCGTCCATGTTTGTGGACTCTACGGGTCACAATTTTTCTCTGATTTCTATATAACTTACAATATATTTTTATATCCCAAAGATCTTGGTTTGGTTCGATTTTGGAACATATCGGACCTGGACTTCCTGGATTATTGCCATGATTGTACGTAAGTCGCAAGTTTCCATTATTAAGCTATGCGATTTATGTACAATAATGGCAATAATCCATAAGTCCAAATCCGATATGTGCCAAAATCAAATCCATCCGCTATTGTTGTGTACAACACATATATTTGAATCGAATAAATATTGTCACACTATTTATATGATTCAAGTATTTGTGTTTTACACAACAATAGCGGATGGGTTTGATTTTCGTGGAAATCGGACAGTAACTTCCCGTTAAAATTGAAATTGCCCATTTATGCAAATACTGGCAATGCATGTAATACATACACCAAGGTCGTGGACACTCTAGAGGCAACAATTTTTGTCTGATTTAGATGAACCGTAACATGTGTGTTAAGGATCAAATGATCTTGAGTTGAGTAAAATTTTGGTGCACATCTTAGGTTATGGCTCCTGCCTTTTACTCAAAGATACATTATGGGAGATTCGGTAACGAGTTGGCAGTTCTCACTATAATAGTTAAAAACTAGATAATGTAAAGGCAATTTGGTGAAAATTTCATTCAAATTTATCCACTATGAACCGAGAACTAAGCGACTGAACTTCCCATAAGCCTCGGTCATCATTACTAAAGTCAGTACGATAAACAGCATAGTCTCGATTATCCATTTAATCGTTTAATCGAGAAGGAAAGTTATGCAGTAAATCGGCTTACAATCCACTAAAGATCGCAGGCTAGCGCTGCCATCTAGAGTTGATTATGGCCTGGATAGGTTAATTAATGTCTAGTTAATAATTTAGATAACATTTCAGGCCTAAAGAAAGACCTGAAATAGGCAGATTTAGCTCTTGCATAATATATGTTTAAAATATGTAACTAAGTTTGTGGGTCCATCTGTCCGTCAGGGATGAACCTTATCAATAATCAGCATTCTGCAACTTCCGTTCTGGAGATACCCCTTGTGAACTCCCATAGAGGCTATACATGTAGCTTATAACCTTTTGTTTCAGAGTTATGCCCCTGCTAGCTGAAAATCTTGTGAACACGATAGAGCCTACACATTATCACAGATAAATTTCAAATTTGGTGTGAAGTAGTGGGGTTGTGAGAGAACAAACCCTATCAATATTTAGTGTTTCATGACTTTCCGTTCTGGAGTACTGGTAGCCGGTAACCCTTGCGAATGCAATAAAGGCTACAGTTTTTAATGGATTATTTTCATATTTGATATAAAGAACTGGGACAATGAGAAGATGGAATACAGTAACTGTTTATTACTGATCGAGGTTTCGACAAGGCTTCTCTAGGTCCTCAATACCCTTGGTATTGACGTGATCTGCAGATTGATGCCAGAGAAAAGATACTATTGAGGATTGCCTTAGTAATACAAAATCAACCACATGTATAACTTTGACCTGTTACAGTCTTTCGAGTGGTATGATCAAGAACAAAATTAAAATCAAACAAATTATTAATATCTTAAGTGAAGCTATTCACAACACTCAGATCAAATAAAGAAGAATTTGAACTAAAGCACATGTTTTATATATTGTTTTCTTATATACGTTGTGGCTGACATCATTTGCTATATTTTAAAATACACTAGTTCATAGTCCACTCAATGTCTCAATCACAGATAAAAGTTTAATACATAAACTTCCAAGATCTCTCTCTGGCAGAAACTTCTCCACTTCTATATTGTTTCTCTCTATCTGCCTGAAAAATAAAAATATTTAAATGAACAGTTTGAGATACCGTATGCTGCTTATTCTTATCTAAAATGAGTCCATATTCAAGGAATGGGAAAACAGTCTATAAATAAAAGAAATATTATTTATAACTATTGCTTTTTTTCTTTCACAGTAAAATGATATCAGTTGTATTAATTCAGTCATTCAAATATACTTACTTTACCCTTCCTTATCAAGTATGTTAAAGTCAAAACAGGAAAAACAAAAGCAATAAAGCCATTCCATGTTGTTTTAGATGTTACTTTAAAATGATTTGCTAGAGTAGCATTCATTGAATTATACCTTTGGACAGCTGGATCAAACTGTGATTAAAAAAAAAATTATTATACACAAAATTAATACAAAATATCAACACAACGAAATAGAATCTTAAGCACATTACTTTTGACATTCTGAGATAAACATAGATAATTTTATTCTACAGGTGTATTTTGCTATAGAAAGAGATGCCGGTTTAACAACCAGTAAACATAAACTAGGTCATTCTGGGACTAACATGGTTTAAATCTATTTCAATAATTTGCTGTGCAGTGTAGGGGTCTTTAGCAGTTGGAGGAAAGCGGACAACCCGGGGAAAACCCACAAGGTTGAACAGACGACCCGACTCCTTGTTACGTTCAAGAACAAGCAGGGAATCAAAACCACGGCACTATCATCTATAGTGCACAAGTTACTAGTATACTATACTACAAAACAGGTATGAAATGATTAATGTGACTACTAATATGTCACATGATTCATTAATTTCACACTCGCATCACTTTTTTTGTTTTACTGGAATCCATATGAAACCAATGGTAGACAAAAATGTAAGTTGTGTTTATTATGACAATTCTGCCTATTTTTATGGTGCAAAATGTCATCAGTTACCAAGTGACTTTTATAATATGATATGCCTTTTTGAGGAATGTAAGAATAATACCCCACCCAGATCAAACCCTGCATAATATTTTATGATCCACATTTTTTGATCAACTTACAACAAATGCTTTTCCTGATAGAGCTCTATATGGGTCTGTAACTTTTTTTTGAAATTCAGCTTTATTTGCTGCTCTCATTTTAGCTCGTTCTTGAATAGCCTTCATCTCATCTGATGTTACATGATACATTTTCCATGGATCCCAAGCTTTTTTTTCCGTTACCCCAGTCATCTATAACATATGATAAGATTAATTGAATAGAAACACTAATTTTTGAGGTTAGGGTAGCATATAAATAAATAAGTAAAATAAAAACATAAACTAGGAAAAATAAAAAAATAAAGTATAACTGCAATTGTACAAAAGCTAGGGTTAGCTACATTGGTACCAAATTTCAGTCATATGCACATATAACATAGTATTATGCACATGACATAATCATAGAAGGGAGAGAGAGAGAGAGAGAGAGAGTTTAATGTCCACTGTCACAAACTAGGTCATTTCAGGACTAACACATGGTTTAATTTTATTTCAATAATTCGCTTGCGCGTATGGGTCTTTAGCAGTGGGAGGAAACCGGAGGACCCGGAGAAAACCCATACAGTTGGACAGGTGACCCTACTCCTTGTCACCTACAATGCCAGTTAACTCAATGACAGACCTTATGATACAGCATGCACATGTTACCCACTCGGCCATCCAAGCCCCTTTAAGTATAGTAATGTGACAAGTAAACCTGTTAGCATTAAAGTAGCTAAGTCGCTAACTCAATATCATTCAAAGTCTTTGACATTGAAAACACAAATTATTTGTCTATTTAAATCAACATTGATGTTGTGATTTTACTTTGAAGAGATGGGTTTCTGATATCCAATATTTAACACAAAATAAACATTTTACCATTGGTACACGAATCATGTACCATAATGCATTTCAGTCCCATTTGTAACAAGGGACTCGAAGAAAGCGAGAGAGAGAGAGAGAGATATGGGGTTAAATGTCCACTCGACACAAACTAGGTCATTTCGGGACTAACACATGGTTTAATTTTCTTTCATTTTCAATAATTCGCTTTCGCGAAGGGGTCTTTAGCAGTGAGAGGAAACTGGAGGGCCCGGAGAAAATATACGAGGTTGGACAGGCGACCCTACTACTTGTCACGTACAACCGGGGATTCGAAACCATGCCAGTTGACTCAATGACAGGCCTTATGATACAGCGCGCGCGTGCTAACCATTCAGCCATCCAACCCCCCCAACCCTCAAAGAAAGGGGCTAGACATATTCCCCAAGTCATATCTGGAGAGCATGACACTAGAGATTGTCATTCGATTGAGACTTGTGGCGTATTTCGATGAACATAGCTGATTTGAAATTAAGAGTAAAAACAAAACGATTGAATGTAAACCACTTTATATAAAATTCATATTACATTATTATATGCGTTGCGACCCATTGTCAATTTCTAGGTCCCTAATATTAGCGATTTAGTTCCTCTAAGGTTTGATGCAACAACCATCTCAACATCCGTTGTATGTTTAGACAATCATGGTAGCCCATTATGCTCACATAATTTATCAAAAATATACACTGGGTAACTCACATATGGACATACATGTATTATAGTATAATATATGACCAGTAAACCAATAATATGACCAGTAAACCTTGATGCAACAACAGCGTCAACATGCATTGGTATGTTTGTTTAGACATTCACGGTAGCTCATTATGCCCACTCACATAATTAATCAAAAATCTATAATGGGTAACTCACATTAATCAATAAAAATATTTAAAATACAGATGTGATGTCACCCTTTGATGTTGGCGTACCATTATTTCAAATAATCGTACATTATTTATACTAGTGAAATATTGGACTCGAGTGACGTATTTCACTGTCATGTGTGGAGTGTCTGTATTTTAAGTCTCGAGCTTAAGAAATTGCATAATATATTGTAAAAACACCCGGGCCTACGGCCCTCTTGTTGTTACAATATATTACTTAATGTCTCGCTCTTGACTATTAAACAATACATAATACACGGGTACTATTATACCGAATGCTAAAGGACACACAACCCATGCTCTTTTCTTAGAGACCCTCAGATGAATTGTTTTCATAATTATTTGTACTAACTATACATTACAATGTTAGTATGTTATTATGGTAAATAAAGTATGTCAAATTTATTATGGCGGTCCAGAAAAAGTAAAGTTGGGGTTGTCACCACTGGCAGCCAAAGTAATCCCTGCCCTGAGAAATTATCATTTTTATTTATTCGGTACCGTAGGCTTATATTTATAATATCAATCATACTATTAGTTACAAGTATTACTATTCATATCGTACCCAACAAGATGAAGATTAATAAACATTAAAATATTATCTATCATAATATCTCTTAACCCAAGATTAATAAACATTAAAATATTGATAGCCTTTGGTTTTAGCAAATATAAGGTATGCCAAAGTCATGATTGCGATTGAAATCTCTGTCGACTACAAATAAATGTATTATTTTTTGAAAGTTTCACCTTGAGCTTGAGGTTTCACAATTTACCACAGTCAACAGCTCCGCGGAAGCAATAGTAGTCTCTCTCATCCAGTCCTGTCAATTCAATAATAGGCCCACACTATCAAAATTGGCTATATTACTGTATACCAGTTCTTTTTTTGCTGCTATCTTTCGGTTTTTAAATTATTTTTATATATCTATTTTGTTCACTTTGGCGACCAGTTGATTTGGCTTTGATGGAAAAGGTGAGCTTCACTTTATTAGCGATGATCCAATTCGAAAATTGAGACGGTCCTCCAGTTGCGTTATCGTTGAATCTCGCGTAATGATCCGAGATTAACTATGGCGGCAGTATTTGCGGCTAAAAGGTAAATATCGCAATAATGAATAGCTGTAGCCAATAAGGAGAATTGACGTCGTTATAAGAATTGTCAGAAATATATTTTGAAACACACTCATGAAGATTTTTTGCATTATATCACCCTAGACAACTTAGCAAATTTTTTATGTCAGGGTAGGCATGCATAGTCTTTTGTCGAGATGAATGATGATGTCATTTCTCTGAAAGAAAGTGAGACAGTATTCAGTGTCTTGATACCCGTCCATTGACTCTTTCTATACTCTTGGCGTGGCATTATTATAGACAGTATTCTATACATAGACTTATCAAACATGCATCAAGCTAACTGGTTGGCTGCAAATTTCTAGTTTGTGACACGAAATAAAGTACTAAGAAGTATTCAAGTAGGCCAGACGCAGACTGTGTAGAGTACATGTACATTGTAGGCTTGTTTGATGAGTTTGACTGTCACTGATAACATGTTCAATAATGTATCTGTCTACATCACCATCTGGAACAGTGTTATTTCTGTTGCCCTTCACCTAAACCTCACCATTCTGCATTCTGTTGCCCCAGTTTGAGATAGTGTGTATTTAGTAGAAATTGGTTTTACCATTCAGATCGAAAACAGCTAGGCCTAACTAAAAATTCAATTAAGAACCATTTATCACTGATATTTCCAGGATTGTAGGCATATCCTTAACTATGCCGCAAGTGTACATATACAAGACTGTCATTGGTCATCATTAATCTCAACATTTTTATATAGACAAAATAATTTATGATTGATTCCACCTTAGAAGTTAGACTTAAAAGTAATAAAACACACCTTATTATAGCAATCCAGGTTATACAAAGGCCGTAAAAGTGTTTATATGTTGTAGGTAATTCACTTTGGTAGCATTTCGAATTTCAACCCAGATTATAGAAGGTTAGACTTGGCCTAGTAGTAATTCAGATTAAGATTGTAATTACGATTTTTTTAAAGCTTGTACTGGCCTAAATATGTTTAGTAATATACTGTAGATACATTGATATTGTACATGTAAATTGCAAATGTTATAAATGTTTATTTTTATATTCTTTACAGTTACAGTCATTAAAATAAGATGGCATATAAAAGGATAAATTCAATGAAAGAACCCAGAAAAGGTTCCTTTCATCAGTATGAATTTCAAGGTATAAAACAAATGTATTCTATTGTTAGGATTTTATTCAGGTTTGTTGGTGTTACAGAGTGACATAAATGATAAGAAACATTCCAGGTGTTTAACCTGAACTTTATGTCAGGAGTCACAAATACAGGTTTGTTGAATAACATGAACCATCAGGATATGAATTAATTCTGAATGAGTAACAGTTTACTAACAGGTTCGATTTATACTAGCTGGATTGGATTTCCATATGATGGTACTCATTTCTAATCCTCTACCAAGCATCAGCATGGATGGCATTCTTATTTATACTATACATGTAAGATCGCATAGGCCACTTCAAAATGCACACTAGTTTTGTAAATAATTCTATGGTATTATGGTATTCCTTTTGTTTTCCTTCAGGTAATTTTTCCTGGGATTCTTACTTGAAAGATTCAGATGCACCTCGAGCACCTAACAATTGCTTTAAACAGGTACATATGATTTTGTGTTTTTAAAAAGATTCGATAAGGCATACTTAAACAGGACAGTGTGTACATTTCTGTATGTGTATATATCATGTTTGACTAGCAATAGCAGTTTAAAGTAGCAGTCCTTGGATTTCACAGGGTAACCATTTATGAAAATGTGTTAAAGTATACAAATGGAACACAAAAATGTGAAATAATATCTCCAATTGATTGTCTTAAGGCTTGAGCTCACAATATTTGGCCGTTCGAAAATGATTACTAGATTAGCATATCTGTGTTTTGGAATTTCCAGACTTATTGCCAAATCTGAGTAAAAGTTTGTATTTCTGCCCCAAAGTTCCACACAGTTTTTAATAGTTATACAGAACTAGTATGATTGCTACTAAGAGTCTTTTACACATAATTATTCTATTTGATTCACTAAACTTTATCTGCCACAGCTCCCATTAATGAACATGTTGTCAAAATAGTAGCTTTAACATAGTGTGATTTAGAGGGTTTGCTTAAGACCAGCAAACCTGAAGACATTGAATATTCATGGCACTTTTCTTGTATGATGGACATTGAGTGTTTTCCCTGACTTTCCCTGTAGTTTTAGTTCTCCAAAAATTATTTTATTATAAATATATGTTACCATTTTCAGCATTTTCCTCCACCTGCTAATGAATTTAAAGTTGGTATGAAATTAGAAGCTTTAGACCCACGTAATATCACATCATCATGTATAGCAACAGTTGTAGGCACACAGGGTCCAAGATTAAGATTACGACTAGATGGTAGTGATAATAAAAATGATTTTTGGCGTATGGTAGATTCATCAGATCTCCATCCTATTGGATACTGTGAAAAACATGGTGGACTTTTGCAGCCTCCTTTGGGTATGTAAAATGCTATTATATAGAGAAAGATTATTTCAGTAGTAGATTGTTTTTTAAAAACAGGTTTAAAAAGGAATTTTTCAGTACAAAAGGAAAGAAGAGAAAAAGTGTTAGTTCTAAAATTCTTCATACTCTGCCTTTCAATAATATCTAACTTAAGATGCATGTGGTTTCTGGTTGAATACTGAAACATAAGATAAATGATTAATATCAATACATTCAGAAGTAAGGTATCATCACTGTCATAAACTGTGTATGTTCTTTAACTTTTTTTATAGGATTTCGGAAAGATGTTGCATCATGGCCAACATTTTTAATGAAGACTATGACAGGTGCCCAAATGGCACCTCCTGGTGCATTTAAAGAGGTATTTATGGATATGTATTGGTATTTTGAAATTGTTTTATTGAATGTACATAAATAAAAACAAACACATTAATTTCACTTAAAATTTTGAAAATAAGGCCGCAGTTAATTAATTGTCAGTTTCTCATGACCTGAGTTTGTGAAATATACATGCTGCATGCGGTAATTATTATTTATTGAGATGAAATTTAATTTTTTTTAGTTTAATGCTGTTTCTATTTCAGCAATAACCAATGTCAGTTACTTGGTCGTTGAAAACCCAATGGTAACCAGTGTCCGCGATTTATTCACATTTATTAAATATTTATAGATTAAAATATCTATTGCACAATATAGCTGGGCATCGGAAGACTTGATCATAATAAATAAGTTTAAATTATTAGTGATATGCTTCTAAGTTAACGGTTCATTAATTCATTCATTCTTGGCATTTCATTTCTTTATCCTTCCCTACTTTGATAGGTTACGAAATGACCTGTTTCAAACTGATTGATGATTTGTTCTGACATAAATAATCAAAAGCATACCCTTGGATTTTTAAATACAAAATAAGTTAGATAATTTAACAGGACAGTCAAAGAATTTACTACACACATGGTCGTTCCTCTAGCCGTGAGGGAAGATAGTACCAATGCCATGGCAATAGCACGTATGTTAATTGTTGTCAACTTTGAACCCATCATCGGCTCGTGGCATCATGATAATATAAATACTTTTATTATTTTGTCTATCTTAATCAAACTGTTTACATTTATTTGTATCTCTGTGTCCTTTTGAGACTGTTTATATAGTGTTGTTAATAAAATACTGTGAAAGGCGTGAAGCAGTGTCAACCAGTCGGTATCTCATGATCTAGGCTATCTCATGGCGGCAGTTCTGGGACAGTTGCTAGTCAGTAAATAAAATAATTTAGCAGGAATTAAAAGACTTTTATATCTTTCTGTGAATTTTATTACAAATGACAAGTGCCTTAAAGAGTATATATGTGGTCTTTGGTGAATGTTGTAGCTACCATTCCTTGGTATGGATGACAGATATGATATGGCTTTTATCACTTCCGTTTTGCGGATGGACTTGTGTATTTTTTCACATTCTTGCCTGCTTTACTTATCACCTACGATGTCATGTTCATTGATAAATAGTGGATTTTAATGTGTCAATTCATTGTTCATATTTAAAGGCAAACAAATATAGTTTTAAAGGACAAATTTTGGACCTCACTAAATTTGACCAAATAATTATGGAAGTACGTAATTATTACGGATGAAAATGGACATGCGGGCGGGTCATGAGAAACAAACAATTAACTAACTGCTCCCTAAGATCTGAATTTCTATATGATTACATGGATTGTGTGGTCATTTTGGTCTGTTGATGAATCCCAGTAATCTCGATTTTGGAAATTAGTGGTAGAAGTATTATCTTAATCTTTGGAATTGTATACATTATTGAGATAAAGGATGAATTGTGGAACTTGTATCCTTTTATAGAAAGTCTTTGTATTCTTTTTCTTTCAGGAATCAAAGACTCCCAAATCCAATCTATTTACTGTTGGAATGAAACTTGAAGCAGTGGATAGAAAGAATCCTCAATTAATTTGTCCAGCAACTATTGGAGATGTGAATGAAGATCAGATATATATCTCATTTGATGGTTGGCGAGGAGCTTTTGATTACTGGTGCGATTTTCATTCTCGAGATATTTTTCCTGTGGGCTGGTGTGCAACAAGTGGACATAATTTGCAACCTCCTGGTCAAAGAGGTATGGTAATACAAATGATACATACAAGTACAGTGCTAAAGTTTTTCTAATTTATTTTTGTGTTTATCTTATATTTACTATTTCTGCAGTACACTAGGGTTTCATTGATTGTAACATTGTCAGTTGTGCAGGACAGGGAGCCTGGCAAGGACAATGTATAGTCATTCGGATTGGACAAAAACACAAGGTCTCATGTACACATTGGCGTGTACATAAAAAATCCCTTGACAGTTGGAATTCGACAAAAGTTTAGGCCATAGTGGCCCTGTCTTGGTACAACTTTCCCTCATAGCACACATTAGCCCTCCTGTCAGAGTAGAACAGTATGACATTAAACCCCATTTCATTTGTAACATTGATATCTGGATCTATTGCCTTCTCCAACATACTAGAGAGACTTTTTTACATGTATACATGAGTATTATACATACAGGTATAATACAGTAAGACGTTAAACCCCATTTCATTTCATTTCATTTTTATTGCCCACCCAATCTTTATTAAAATTATTGATGAGAACCAAATAATTAATTTAAATTGGCTAAAAGAAAACAATTTGACAATTTTGGTAACTTTTGTCCCAAGTGATGATGTAATTCATTTTATTTCAGGAATACCTCAGTATAAATTATCAAAACTAATGAAAGAACCACAAGAATTTTTACTTTCAACACCTCCATTGTCAAACAAAAAATCCAATTCCTCTAATCAAACTAAAACCAAACTTGAGTTAGCAAATGTTCCAAATTCTAAAAATTTAACACCAAGTCCTACAGGTTCAAAACCACCAGTTTTAAGTCCTGCTAATAAGTCACCAATAAACAGTCCTACTGGCTCTAAAATCACCATGCCCACCCTTAGTTCAAAGGTGATGCCTAACCCCACAAGTCCAAGTATTACACCCGAAAAACAACAGTTGTCTCCTAGAGAAGCCACTTCTCCTGTTGTCACGGTTACAGAACCAGATACTAGTTCTGTTGTAGTTGGTATCTCAGGTATGTTGTGTTTCACTATTTTACCGTGCTTTAAAATCTTTATTTTCAAAAAAATAAACATGTGTAGGGGGTTTCAGGTCACTTGACTTAAGTGTGAAATCTGACAGCCAGAGGCTGAAATATAGCCCACTTCAATCTACGATTCTGAATTACTATTTTATTTAAATGTATTACTAGCAATTGTATTGTAAAAGTTAAATATTAATCTCAATATCTGCAAAGATTCCGACTCAAAAATCATCGAAATGTAAGCGAAATTACCATTTATGTATTGGAGACCCTTGCGGGAAAATACTGTTCCGAAGTCACACGGCCCGGGGATTTACCATCAATGCAAATTGCTACAGTTCATTTCGTTGGTGAATCCGCACCTTAGTTTCCGGGGGATGTCAACATAGAGCCAATCAAATGATAGATAACATTTTTGTGATTATTATGATGCGTGATACCCCCCAGCTAGACAATTACAGCCGTAGAAAACAGGATTTATCTGTTTTGTTGACTGAAATTTGCTAAATTTCGACTAAATATAGCCTACTTTTTAATGGTATCATCCAGAATATAAATATTTGACATATCATTCAAATTATTATTATTTTAATAAATCTTAGCTGACTATAACATGCAGATTTCAGTTTTAAAATTGGTACTAGCGATTCTGAAGGGAAAATACTGCTTATGACGTCACTCAGATATGAAAAGCACTTATTTTTTTACCATGGCACGCATTGACTGTTATAGAGAATTTTGAATACATTATTGACGTTGATCTCGGATTTTAAAATCCCATAAATTTGTATCTAATTAGAATATTTGGATGAAATAAAATATTTTGTGTATATTTTCACAATATATTTTTAAAAAACTTTTTTCTCTCACTTAAAACTTTGACCTGAAACCCCTAACATGTGTTCATATCTTTGACTAGAGCTGCATCAATAACAGTATATTTTTTGTCAGTGAGGTAAATATTATTCAAGGAGCGGAATGGAAAAAATCAGATGTGATTGGGGTTTCACCATATATGTCGCAATACATCATTTTCAGAGGGACGTCGAAAAAATTTGATGAGCAAAAAAATTATTCATTTGTCTGACAAAATAGTTACAAAGGAGATAATAGCTAAATAAAAACCATAAACCATGTTTTTAATTTCCATTTAATCGTATTTTTTTCCAATGGATTTGTTAAGGAAATAAAACTTTTCCAAGATTCAAAGGTTTAGTATAAATTAATGTGTATTTTTGTCTTTAGTCAATTTTTCTAAAATATTCTAAAAATGCAGTTTTTCACTGGCCAAGAGCTAATATTTTTGCTTTGATTTTAGTGCTCAACAAAAGAATGATCAAAATTCTTAAAATATTTTAGATTATGTTTTCATGAATAAGGATCCAGATGCACTTATTTAGTTAATTTAATTCTTTAAAATTAATAATGACAAAATTTAAACAAAGAAATCCAAGGTATTTATGAAATGCTGGTAACTAAGCCGGTTACTCTTAGTCCCTCCAACGTAATGAAGTAAATGTTATTTTAGAATGTTATTAAGCATAGATTTTGTATTTTTTTAAAAAGTTTGTGTTCATGTTAATACGACGTGTAATACTGGTACCTTTCTAAGTCATCGTAAAGTGTCTCAGCTACCTGCCAAATATGGTCCTGGCTCAATCAATCAGATATTACGTCAAGTAGTACAGTCATGTATTGAATGTGCCGTACAAGAAAAGGTTGTGTTTAATATGGTTAAAGATGGTAATGGTAAAGTTGTGGTATATGGTAAGTTAATTTTTATATATACACATTCCACAGTCTAAAAGTAAACATTGTTCTGATATGTTCTGAATTCAGAATTATATGCCAATGTTGCCTAAATGGCAATCTCTTGCTGTTTTAAATGGATTCGGAAATTACTGGGAGTTGCAAAGTTATTGACTCTTAATGGTCTGATTGTTGATTAAAATAACAGCACTTTCCTTTTTTTTTTATTTCAGCAAATCAAGGAAATATGACGTATACAAAACGGTTGGTGACAGTAGAGAAAGTATCAGAATTTTGGAGTTTTATTGAGAGGTTTTTAGAAGATCTGGGGTGTTGTGAAAATTTTCTCTCCAGTCATTCATTAGATGGCGGGTGTACAAAATGTGTCAAGCTGAAAAATTCAGGTAAATTTATGATATACTTTAGTAAACATTTAAGAAGTGGTCCTGTTTCATATGCACACCGGAACCAGCTGGTGCTTTTCTACAATAAAAATTAATTCAGTGGACTTGATGATATAGATAAATCTGAAATATGCTTTATAGTTTACACTAAAATTCCATTCATTTGGAGTTCCCTGCTATTATTTCCCATTGAAGGTCCATATACATGTACATACCCATTCACATCATAGGTTATAGTATTTACATGTAGATATTCTGGAATTCAGTTTTACAGGATATTTATTTTTTATTTAGCTTCAAATGAAAAAGAAAAATCATTTAAATTACCAAAGCGTAGATGGTCTAGTGATTCTGTAGATAGTAATAAAGGTTCAAAAGCTCCAAAATTAGCTAGAAGATATTCCACATATGAAGCAGAAGGTAGGACTAATTCCATTTTTAAACACCCACATTTTCATGTGGGCGTATTATGTCCATCCACCTGTTCACATTTTCTTGTGGACCCTCTACAGGTCCTAGAATGTTCAAAGTTGGTCTAAGTGTTTATTAGGTGAATGCCTTAATGGAGTTTTAAGATGAACATTTTTTGCTGAGGCTAAGCAGAGATAAGCAATTTGATTGGTTCTAATAACTTTGGTTCTAATTAAATGAGAGTGATAAAACTTGGTATATAGTTTCATTATATCAATACCTTGACTGAGTTAGATAATGAACATTTTCTGCTCTGCGTGGGAAAGAGTGATAAGCAATTTGATTCGTTGAGACTTTGGAGCTCAATAACTTTGATTCTAAAAAGTGAGAGTGGTGAAACTTTGTGTATAGTTTAACTACATCAGTACCTTGATGGGCATTTTCTGCTTAGGCCAAGTAGAGAATTCAATATGATTGGTCAAGACTTTGGAAGGCAATAACTCAAGTATTTGATTAACCTGGTTATAAATTGCCTATCTGTTTGTTGTGTTTATTGAAACAGGACTTGTATTAGCTGTACAATTTAAAAATTTTCAGCCTATAAGATATAGTACTTGGGTTAAATGGAGTAAAATGACCATATGGCATATATGGTGATCAAGTTATCCCAAACTCACCTAATATCTAGGAAATGACTATGTTTGTATCAAATGCATAGTTACATACTTCGATAATGCCTACTTTGGTGAATGCATCTGTCCTGACTTAGTTGAATTGAATTTTAAAAATGCACATTTTATATGAATTTTGATTATGGTACAAAATGAATTACAGCTAGTTCAACAACAGGTGACACAAGAAGTAGATTACCTAGTGATCCAGGTGACTGGTCTATAGAAGATGTTATACAACATATATCAGAAACAGATCCAGGTTTAATAACACACACAGAACTCTTCAGAAAACATGTAAGTTTACCTTTATTGTTTGTTATAATGAAAATATCTGACCTGATTATTTGTTGACCAGAAGGGAGTGGCATTGGACATGTTACTATATAAACAAAATCAAAGTAGAGTGTTGACCAGACATCAAATCTTGTTCCATTCATTGACCAGTGATTAGAAAACAAGATAAACATATGGGAAATCCATTAGATAAAACATCTACATTGTTGTTTGATGAAAGCAGGGGACTATTGAAATGGGTTCGTCCGTTTGTCTGTCCGTCCGTCTATTCGTCTGTCTGTCCGTATGTCTGTCACACTTTTCGGGACACAATAACTCTCCATCTAATTGAGCTAGATTGTTCAAACGTGATGTAGGTGTTTATTAAGTCGATGCCTTGATGGAGTTTGAACTTGAAGATGAGCATTTTCTGCGTAGGGGAAGCAGAGATAAGCAATTTTATTGGTTGATGCTCTGGGACACAATAACTTCAGTTCTGATTAAAGCGATAATTTCATATTTTCTAAGAAAGTCAAAACATAATTATATCTATGTCTTTTGCTCAATAGGTTGTCACTATTATACGATTATAGGTATTATTCTCCCTCTTAAAAATCCTTTCACCCCGGAAATAATAACACAATTACCTCCCTTGTTTTTCTGTTCCCCCCATGGCATAGCTATCTTCAAACGTTTGAATTTAAAGTTGAAAATGATATTTTTGCCAATTTCTCAACTGGCAATAGTGAATTATAGGATTAATAGGACTATTCTTTAACAAGGTAGGACTGTTTATAGATATCATCTATTTTAAGGCTTTGTTTTAATAAATATTAAAAATATAACTTAAAAATATGAAATTGCAGCTTTAAGTGAGAGTGATCAAACTTGGTGTATAGTTTCATTACATCAATACCTTGACTAAGTTCGATAATGAACATTTTCTGCTCAGGGTAAGCAGAGCGATAAGCAATTTGATAGGTTGAGACTTTGGAACACAATAACTCTCCTAATTCAGCAACAATGTTAACACTTGGTGTTTTTTTTTGACTAAGGCTAGTATAGCTAAGCAGTTTGATTGGTTGATGCTTTGGGACATGATAACATTAGTTCTAATTAAGTGAGAGTGATGAAACTTGGTGTGTAGTTTCATCACATCAATAGCTTGACTAAGTTAGATAATGAACATTTTCTGCTGAGGGTAAGCAGAGCGATAAGCAATTTGATTAGCTGAGACTTTGAAACACAATGACTCTCCTTCTACTAATTGAGGTAGAATGTTCAAACTTGGTGTAGGCATTCATTAGGTGACTGCCTTGATGGAGTTCGATCATGTGAATTTTCGACTAAGGCTAGGCATAGCTTAGCAATTTGATTGGTTGAGACTTTGGAACGTGATAACTTTGGTTGTAAATGGGTGAAAGCTATGAAACTCTGAGTATAGATTCATTATATCATTACCTTGACAAAGTTTTATGAGAATTTTCTGCTTAGGCTAAGGAGTGATAAGCAATTTGATTGGTCAAGACTCTGGAACATAACAACTCTGCTTTTAATTGAGGTAGAATGTTTAAACTTGATGTTGATGTTCATTAGGTGAATGTCTTGACTGAGTTCATTGATTAACATTTCCCGCTAAAGCTAAGCAATTTCTTTGACTTTGATTCTATCTGATAGAGAGTGATGAAACTTAGTATATAGTTGATAATCAGTTTGATTGCTCGATACTTTTGAAAAAGATAAACTTGCATTTAATTAATTTGTTTTTGGCAGGGGACATCAGCCTCACTGTTAGCTTGTTAATAACTATCAATTCAAGTGAATTTACACTCCCAATAAATGGAGAAAGGTTTTATTCAGTTATTGGCAAGTTGGGATTTCATTGCTGATTTTTTTTAAGAGGATGAAGATATTGCTAACATACAGTGAGTGTTATTATATGTCAGTACTTGTATTTTGTATGGATTTTTATTTCAGGAAATTGATGGAAAAGCCTTGATGTTATTAAACAGTGATATGATGATGAAATATATGGGTTTAAAACTCGGACCAATACTTAAACTTTGCAATATTGTACAAAAACTTAAAATGAGGAAGTGAGAGAGTGAGATGATCTTTGTCAAAACCAATAATGACTGTTAATTAATGTTTATATGAAGGCACATTTAACTAAGCAATCAGATAAATTAAAAAAGTATTAAGATTTTTACATTAAGGGAGGCAAGTCTCTAACTCAATATATCATTAACAAACTTCGACATTGCAAACACGATTTATTGGTCAGGTTAAATCAACATTGATGTTGTTATCTTACCGTGAAAAGATGGGCTTCTGATATCCAATGTTTAAGACAAAATGAAAATTTTAAAATTGGCACACGAGCGCCATTTGTAATGAAGTGACCCGATGAACGATACTAAACATACCCCACAGGAGAATACTACCAGTGTAGACTAGAATAACCAGATGCCAAAGACTGTCATTCAATTTGGACTATTCGCATATTTCCCCGCACACAACTGATTACAAACATTCATATTACATTATTATATGCGTTGTGACCCATTTGTGTCCATTTCTAGGTGCCAAAAAATAGAGATTTAGCTCCTTTAAATGTAAGTCTTGTTTATTATGTATTTGGTTTTTAAAAGTTATCAAGTTTAATTTTGCTTTGTGTCTAGTGGTTTGTTTATGGCATTATATGTCACTGGTTAAATATTTTCAATGGATTTGCTATATACATTTTGTTCATTCTGGTTGTGTTTTGTATGAAAAGAGTTGTTAAGGCATTCTTGTTTAGAACTTTAATGTAAATCCTCAGTTAAATAGAGCATCTTCATAGATTGTGTAGCACTCCATTTTACAGTAATATTCATTGCAATAATTGTAGTAGGAACAGAGGTCTGGAACCTTACAATATCAAAATATTTCTATACAATTAGTTTGTGCTTTGTCACATTTTTAAATTTTTTTACAAAACTGATATTATTCCAAATTTTTATTGTTAGAATCGATATTATAACATTTCAAGATTAAAGGATAGAACCGAAGTTGTTCTTCATGAATCACAAATATAAGATACTGAACTTTGATGAACAATCCCATAAAGTAGTGTTCATCAATTGTGTTCTGTTCACTTAATATCACAGAAAGTGATAGACTACTGTACACGGTTAAAAAAAACCAACACGCACTAGATGATAAGAAACATGAATTAATTACTGATATTATATTCACATTATTATTAAATCCAAAAACCTACCTCTATTTTGGTACCATTTAAGAAATCATTTACATTTCTATATTTACTATAAATATCTTATTCATATTATCATTCTACATTAATGCATAGTTATTGTAAGTATTTCTTAGAAAGCATTATGTGTGTATGTATGTATATGTATGTATGTATTCTACAGTTTTTAGGTCTGTTAAATATATCTAAGGGAATTAGTTATGAATCTGGTTCAGATTATTTTCATTTACAATTTCGTTATTTTTGACAATCATATGATTCATATTTATAACAAAAGTATATACAGGTACTTAAATAAACTGTAAGGCAGTGAATTGATGTGTTACGAGGGGTCATGGTGACTAAGACGCTCGCTCGCTAGCCTGCAGGTTGGGTGTTCGATCCCTGCATTGGTGTGCACGTAAAAGGTCCCTTGACAGTTTGAATTGGATATAAAAGTAAGCAGTAGTGCTGCTGTCTGGGCAAAATTTCCCTGATAGCACAATGTATGGTGTATGCCCGTCTTCATCAGCCCATTTCTGACATGTTATGAAATGAATACAATCTGAAGCAATGTATTTGTTAACCGCTGTATTATCTGTTCTTAAATTATGACTGGGATACTTCTTTTAAATTTGAATATAGGATAACTACACCATTGTTCTGTTATGGGCACTTTGATTTGTCTCAACTAATTAAATCATTATTGATATGTTTCATTGTTTTGAAGGGTTTTATGTTTGATGACATTCCTGATTTAGAATATCAGTCCAAAAATGGTTTAATTTTGTTCGGTATTGACAAAGATATTAAGTATTCTCTGTTGACGATATAAACTGGATATGATGACGTCAAAACATTTTTTGCAAAAATCCTGTTGTCCTCTTGATTAAATGTTAAATAATCAATCAGTGGATTAAGATGTGAAAAATTTGATATTGGTAAAAAAAAGGCAGATGAGAATTGACTGCTTCATAAGGTCACATCAATTTCTTGTTCGCATCTTGTTTACAGTATATGGCTTTGGATGTTTTATTAAAAGTGTTCATAAAAGTACAATTTTCAGTGGCTTTAAATAATATATTATGGTAATTTAAATATTGTATTGTAATTAATTTTAGTATTTCCTGGTCAATTTATTTTGCAATGGTTTTATTATATTATAATTATCAATGTTAAATGAGATTTTGAATATTTTTCTTGTCTTTAAATTTGACAGATTTGACATGTTTATGTCTATTTGATGTCATTATTGCCAATAAGGTGTTGAAATATGGTCGACATAGATAAAAAAAGAAAAAATTCCTGATTGATTGTTCGGTTTATTGATCCTGGAGTCATTGTTCAATAATTTAAACATGATTTATGTTTAATGTGGTTTATCTTCCAAAGTAAGTAAGACCTCATATATTTCCTCACCCGTCCTAGTGGGGTTGGGTGGCGGAATGGTTATTGTGTGCGTGTTTGATCATAAGGTCTGTCAAGTGGTGTGGGTTCGATTCCCGTCTTGTATGTGACAAGGAGTAGGGTAGCCTGTCCAACCTCAAGGGTTTTCCCCGGATAATATTTCCTCCCACTACTCAAGACCCCTATGCGCAATCAAATTATTGAAATAAAATAGAACCATATGTTAGTCCCAAAATGACCTAGTTTGTGTTGGGTGAATGTTAAACCCCATTTCTCTCTCTCGCCCATCCTGAAAAATCAACTTCTCTCCCAAACTGAAAGTTTAAAAAGTAGGATAAACAACATTTTCTTTTACATGGCCTAACATTGCAAACTTTTCTTTTTAGAAGTATTTTACACTAAGATCTACTGTTCTTGTATACCCTTCATCTCACTGTTCTGATTTTATAAGCATAAAATGGAATAACATTATTTTGATATTTTTTTTGTGACTGCTCTACACATCAATATTGTCATATTTACACCCAAAATATTTACTGTACATTTTAAATTAATTCAATCACTTGAAGTGATGTCCTCATCTCCTGCCACTAACCTGCCAACTTCTAGAATTATTGTAATTAATAATAACATGTATATTCATTTTAGTGCAGGTTGTATTGTTGTCTAAGCTTATGCAAATATGTTAATCATGTGAATTGTATATTATTACTTGTGTAGAAGGTATCATTCAAAGTTGTATATAGTCTTGTATACTATGATAAATCTCAAATACAAAATGTACATTTACTACAGTTGTCCTTTCTTGTTTTATCAAGGTGTATTGCAGTCTGCAGAGCAGACAGATGTTAACATTAGCAATCACCATTATACATTTTGGATAGCCAACCCTTAGATGACAATAAAACAATTAAGCATGGCATTCTATCCATCTGTACTTTTGTGTCTGTCTGTTCTAATCTGCATATTCATTTTGTATCCTGTCTGAAGTTATTAAACTTCCTCTCTCTCACTTCAGACAATGGAAAGAAACCTATAAATATCACAAACATTTTTCAAACCAATATGCAGTTTATCAATTGGGATCTATATTTTTTATTGATAAAAAAAAAAATCACAAGACTAAAGATTTTTTTAGATTTTAACAGAGAATATGTTTTTGTGATAACATTGTTCAATTTCCTGAATAAAAAAGACAGTCTAAGAATAATGTTTTCAAGAAACTGCAAACAAGTAGCCTCTCAATAAAATGATGATAAACATTTTGGATAATTTAAAAAAAATTTTAATAACTGATAAAATTAAATAATAATATCTGAAAATCTAAATGTACAGATTCTGCAATAAAGCTGAATCAATTTTATGTATAAAATGAGGTAAAATTATGTAAAATCAAGTGAATTGGGTAAAATTGTTACAAACATCCTAACTTGATCTTCATCTGCGCTTGAAAACATAATAATCTTATTTTCTTTAAGCTTTTTTCATACCCCTTAGTTAGCATCCTTTCGGAATAGGCTCCTGAATTAAACTATTCAAAGTACATAGTTATTAGCTGAATGTGAAGATACAAAATGCTTCATATTTTTGTTTATAAACCGATATGTTGCAGTTGGTTTCAACAAATTTCCAAATGAATAATCACATTTTTTCTGCTTGTGATCCCATTATACTTTACAGTGGTGATAATTGGAACAATTTATGAAACTAAATGGCTTTATTAATTGTAATCCAATGACCTATCCTAGAAAAGATTGCGATCACATTCACTGTCATAGCCACAGTTATCAAAAGCCACCAGGAGCACAAGCATTTCTAAGGTCAATAACTGAATAGTCACAAATAAAATTAAGTCTGGAGCAGGTGTTTGTTGTGAACTTTTAAGTCATGATTTCCTTTATAGTTCTGTATATTGGTATTTCCTTTGATATATATTCATAGTCTTTCCCAGTATATAGTTCCTCTAACTCTGTTTCCTCCCAAATTCCACCCCTCTCCTTAGGGGCCTTAGGGGCTATTAAAATTAGATTTTAAGAACAAATCACCAATCACATGAAGAGAAAATCCAATTTTCATATACCTGGGAAAAATATATTTGTCAAGAAATATTAACCCTACTTGTCTAAAATGAAGTTTGTGCACATATAGGTCAATTTGACTTAAAATTACTGTAAAATATGAACTCTCAAATTGGTTCGTCTACTTGATATAGATAACATTTGAATGGTTTATAGTCCACTGTTGTTAAAATATGACCCTGTTATAATACTTAAGTAATATTCTAGTATCATTTTCTTATTAACTGTATATGACATGCAGGACAGCTGTATGACAAACTATGTTCTCTATGTGTCTTTAATAAATACATAAATTAGATAATGGACACATTATATTGAAGAAAGTAAAAAAAGACCCACAGGAGGACTTTTTCCTACAAATACTTCAATTTATTAAAGTTGTTTATTTTCATAAAGTGAGGAAAATTTAGTTACCAAAAATGGGTATTGGTGGCAATTATTAAAAATATACAGGTACTTAATTGATAACATAACAACTTTTGGTCTTCGTAGGAATTATTAGTGATCAGAAATTCGCACGTGTATCTGTTATCACTGGTCACTTCAGTCATTTATATAGAAGGATAACGTGTGCTTTCTTTTGCATTCATAACTTCCCTTCCTTGAAATCTCTATAACACATCTATCATAGCAATGATCTCTGTGTTAAAATTATATTTGGAAAGTGTTTAACCAGTTCTATCACATATGTGATATTGACTGACACCAATATTGTCCTTTAAAGAATGCATAGTTCTACACCATTTTATCATTTACAAGGTATTCACATTATAATATGTTAATACAATATTAAATTATTGAAACAATTCATTAGAAGGTGTACAGCACTAAACAGGGAGAGTGTATTGTACAAAGACAAAGCAATTAAAAATGTATATGAAAATAAATGATTAAATAAACAACAATATAATAATATATTATATTTTAAACAGTAGTACCATATTTAAACTCTGTAATAATGCCTGTTGCCATGCTAATGGGGCATGGAATTGCAATACATTTCATTTTGAAAGTACGACCTGAGTAATAGAATTATACGAATAAATTATAAAATCTGAAATAATTATATAGTATGTAATAATGCCATTTATCATAATCTCAACGCAAATAGTATTTGTAGTAATAAACATGAATATATGTTAAGCACCAAATTACATACAGGCACAGGAGGTTGTATGGCCGAATGGTTCAATACAAGTGGCGTGGTTTGGATTACCCGCTTGTACGTGACAAGGAGTAGGGTCGCCTGTCCAACCTTGGGGGTTTTCTCCAGGTCCTCCAGTTTTCTCGCACTGCTAAAGACCCCTACACACAAGCAAATTATTGAAATAAAATTGAACCATGTTGGTCCTGAAATGAACTGGTTTGTATCAAGTGGACATTAAACCCCATTTCCCTCTCTCTTACACACATACAGGCACTAACGACTAACTTACGTGATTCCAAATTGAAATTTGTTTCAAAAGCCAATAAACACATTCTCTTATAAACATACATTAAGCAAGAGCTAAATATGCCTATTGCAAGTCTTTCTTTAGGTCTGAAATGTTATCTAAATTATTAATTAGACATTAATTAGCTTACCCAGACAATAATCAACTCTCGATGTCATTGGATTTCTCCGATATTATTTAAATAGATTAGAATGGTTCAGCCATATTTTGATTTATTTTAAAAATAGAGCCTCGAGACTTAGCTTCGAACAACCAGTACAGTGGTTGAAATTATTACACACGTCTTGTCAAACCTTCAAAGGCTAATATCTTTGCTCGCAATAAAGTAATTCGAATGAAATGTTCAAATTATTCATTTTACATTAACTATTTTCGAACTATTATAGCAAGAATATTTAGCTCTTTATCTGAATCTTACATAATGTATCTTTAATTCTATTTTCAATATTGATGATTTATATAAAATAATGCCAGCTATGATATAGAAATTGGATTTTGATTGATTCAGGTTACTGGGTTAGCTACCTGTGTTTTATTTCTTTTAGTTGATTACACTGCCTCTTGGTCTAAAATTTTGTTATAGAGTGCGTTCAGTAATGCACAGGTTGTAATTGGTCATCTCCAACCTACCACTTTTATGATACAGATACTCGATTGTCTGTTAAATAGAGGTCAACTATATACAGACCCAAAATGCGTTTTTCATGCACCTGTTGTTAGGTGAAAATGGAGTAAACAACCAAATAAAAAAATATGAAAATTTAGATGGTGTTTATGCGATTCTTAAAAGAAAGGTAATGTAAACAATATACATTATAATGTATGAACTTTTTAGTAAACTTACAGGAACAGGCTAGACCTTTGATATATCAAGTGCTCAAAGCATCGTCTTCTTCTGCATCATGCACACAACTCATACTTCATATTTCTTCATAATACCATTTAAAACAAACAGAAATCATCCCCGTTAAAAATTAAAAACTTGTAATATACTTTTCTTAATGAATGCAGAAATCCCTAAATATTCTCTAACACAACTTTTAACAACATATCTTTATCTTTAAAGTCATGTTATAGGAACTATGCCTCACTAATACTGTGTTTGGTATCATTTTGATTGTCATCTTGTATCATTTTATCACTCTCATTAGTATAATCTTCTAAACCATCTTCTAATTGGAATTTTTCTAACAATTCTCCACCTTTAATAACTACAAGTTCTGTTTCAGCCGGTCCACCACCATTATAATTTCTGTGATCTTGATCTAAAAATATATTTATACATGTTCTATAATAATTTCTGAAGAAAAGGTTGATTCAAAAAGAATGATACAAGTGACAAAATAAGTAGCTTGTTTTGAAAGCCTACCTGCCTAGGTCATTTAGGAAAACTAAATCCTTAATCCAATCGCAGAGATTTCATTGGTCCACATTTGACAATGGAGGGCAATGCAGTGAAGGAATCTCTCCCCCTCCCCCCCCCCCCAAAAAAAGAAACCAGAAACCTGTGCTTAAAGGTTAAGGGAGTACAGTTAAAATAAATTTTTATTTTTGGCTTTATTAACTGAACTAACATGTGACAGTGATCTTAAATGCTGTAATAAAGTGTCTTTAAAATAGTGCAAAAAGACAAATTTACTGCTGAAATGATTTATCTTAAAAATATTATACCACTATACTTGACCTACTTGTTGACTATTAATTATATTTCACCATTGTAATAGATAAAGATAATAGAAAGTTATAGGCAGATAATGTAGGCTACCTTTAAGTATTGTATTCAACTGAATAAATGCTCCAGTAAAATAAAGATAGACTATGTTAGAGTTAATTTCTGCTTACACTTACAACAAATTAAATCGGAAGTTATATCAAAAGGATGCAATTATTAGTGTACAGGAAAACAACAATCTTATCTTTTTTGTTACATTTTATTCTGTACTACATTAAAATCTGATATGAAATGAAATGGAGTTTAACCTCCTACTTTTCTGAACTAACCAACTGGGCTAATGAAAACGGGAACATCAGACATTTTCTTTGTAAAATGGTATTCAGAATCAGATCACAGGAAGTTATTGACCAATCAAATTATCTGTTTTAACATACAGGGCTCCATTTTTATACGCCCACATTTTCCTGTGGACGTATATTGTCGCCGGTCGCACCTGTCTGTCCGTCCACAATTTGTTTGTGGACACTCTACAGGCCACAATTTTTATCCAATTTTGAGGAAATTGAAATATAGGTCTATCTCCCAAAGATCTTGGTTCCTTTCGATATTGGCAAGTATCGGACCATAACTTCATGGATTATGGCCCCTGATTGTACGAAAAATCACGTTTTTAGCTTGTGGACACTCTAGAGGTCACAATTTTCATCTGATTTTGATGAAATTTGAAATGCATGTTTATAACCCAAGGATCTTTGTGCATATCGGACTGTAACTTCCTGAATTATGGCCCCTGATTGTACGAAAAATCAAGTTTTCAGCTTGTGGACCTTCTAGAGGTCACAATTTTTATCCAATTTTAAAAAACATTTAAATTAATCACCGTTACACCCTAATGATGGTTGAGTTCCAATATCGTGAAAATCAGACCAAAACTGCCTGACAAAATGGCAGCTCCTTGTATGCAAATAGTGTAAAAGTATGACATACCAAGGTTGTGGACCCTCTAGAAGTCACAATTGTTATCCGATTTTAATAAAACTTAAAATATATGTTTATGTCCCAAATATCTTGGTTCCTTTCACTGTTTGCGCATATCAGACAGTAACTTCCTGGATAACGGCCCCTGATTGTACAAAAAATCATGGTTTTTAGTTTGTGGATTCTCTAGAGGTCAAAATTTTTTATTCAGTCTTAACACCGTTTTAATATATCACTATTCCACCATAATGAAGGGGAAAATCGAAACGAACTGCCCGACAAAATGGCCGCTCTTTATACACAAAGTGTGTAAAAGTATGTATTATGAAGGTTATGGACCCTCTAGAGGTCACAATTTTTATCTGATTTTGATGAAACTTAAAATATATCTTTATGTCCCAAAGATCTCAGCCCCTGTTGATATTTGCGCATTTCAGACGATAACTTTTTGGATTATGGCCCCTGATTTTACGAAAAATGGTTTTTGTTTTTAGCTTGTTCTCTATCCATCTCTTGCAAAATGTGGGCGTATCTTGCCTGACGGCTGCTGGTTTGGTGTACCGGTAGATTTGACGGGCTTGGAGTTATATGACTAGATAATATAAATAGAATTGCCAAACCAAATTATTATCTAATTTTAGTAAGATTGAGGAATAAAACAAATTAAGAAATAATGATGTTGACCTACATATCTTTATTCAGTTGAATACTGTAATTCTTTATCATTTTCCAACTATCATATACCATTAAAGGCTAAATATTTATATGTCTTAGTTAACTTAGTTAACTTGAAGCAACTGATTTGAAAAACCATTATTACCACTATCATTCTTTTACAATTTGTTAGATGAAAATTATATTAGCAAATGGGTATGAAATTGTTATTATTGTAAGTGAATTTATAAAATTGGTTAAACAGCCTGGTGGTGAGCGTATTATGGGCCTGAACTAGCCACTGTCGATGTTTTTTGATCGTATCCATGATTTTTATTTTTATAAAGTTTATAGACTTGTGCCCATGTACTCACGTGGGGAGAGATTTAAAACAAATTGTCTGTTTTAAAATAACAGCTTACTCCACATCAAAATTCATATTTTATCACATTTGACACATGGCAGTTTTCACCCTGGTTATCATGTCTGCCATGCATCTTCGAGTATGGTCAATAAGTACTATTCTTATTTCTGAATTTAAAGTAAACCAAGTTTTGTTGGCAATAAACCAGACAATATTGGTGTCAGCCATTATCACATATGTGATAGAACTGGTTAAACACATTCCAAAAATAATTTCAACATAGAGATCATTGCTACGAAGATTTGAAGAAATGGAAGTGACACAAAAAATGGAAAACAAGAGTTTTCCTTCTGATTGTCGTAACGATTGATAACAGATACACAGGTGAATTTCTGCTCACTAATAATTCCTTCGAAGACTTTTTTTTAGACAACTTCAACATGATATGAAATGAGCTGAACTGTAGTATTTTCTATTGATCTGTACCACCCATAGATGTTTGGACTTGGTTTCACCCATTTTCCGCCCTATATTTTTTAACTTGACAGAATCCCGTTAAATCTCTGTTTGTAGGCTTCCATAATAATTATTCAGTTTTATAATCAGGAATATCAACTTTAATGATATGGACTTGAGGGACATATTTCCCGAACTGGTAATCGTTAAGCTCTTGTAATCACTAAGCCCTACTTTGAAAGTGAGGTTAAAGGTTAAGCCCTAAATACAGATCACATACCTTTGTATTAATAGCATATTGTTATGTTAACAAAGTATGTATCTTTTTAATATTCATAACAATAGATCAGTGATTTAATCAATTGACATATAAATAATAAGATATCAACATTAATTACACCTGTCAGTTTACTACATATTGAGGGCAAGTTTTTGTAAATATCCATATGATAATAACATATTATTATAAATAATACTAAAATATATATCATTCTTCATTATGATATTAACAGGCCTAAAAAATTATTCAATTTGGACATGATTTATCCAGTGACAAGCTATATTATAGTTACCTGAGGCATTCTCTAGAATATTGTGAACAGAAACAGCTGCAAATTCTTCTACTTCTGTAACGGCTGGGTAATTCTAAAATACAAGAAAATAAAGTTAATTACCTGAATAAAAATTCCTATGTACCGGTAAAACTGATGAATAATATCTCATAACAAATCTACAGCTTATGAATTTTATAGGTAGTTAAGCGACCTTCTGTAACGAACTCAACCAGCATGTGTTTTTAAGATACATTATTCAACAGCTAAATCTGCTTATTGCAGGTCTTTCTTTAGGCCTTAAATGTTATACAAATTATTAATTAGACATTTATTGACATGACAAGACCATAATCAACTCTGGATGCCATCAGATGCTCGAGATTTTAACTAGATCAGAATGGTTCGGCCATTTAATGATTTCATTTTAAAATTGAGAAGTGAGGCCAAGACACAAATAACCCTGTACCGTGGTTACGATAATAAACAGTGATAACTTGGCTCAGAATAAAGTGAATGAAATTTTCAATATATTCATTTTGCATTATCTATTTTTGAACTATAGCAAGAATGGCCGCTCCTTATCTAAATCTTAATCTTACATAATGTATCTTTAACCATTTGAAGCTTGTTAATGGTAAAAATATTCCTGGTGTTAAGAAACATGTTGCTCCGGAATACATTTTTTTCCGACATCCAATTATTGCCTTTTTGTCAACACTAATTTTAATGTAGTCTATGCAGTGAGGGGCATTTCACAGCAATACTTGAACATAGTGTGCTTTAAATGATTAATCTGATCACAGAAAATATGTACTTTTAGCATAATGTATCACCCTGCCAAATCCCCACATAGTCCTACTATACCACTATAATGCTCATACTAACCTGTTTAGTTCTAGGTATAAAGAACATACATAAAGCACCAACTATAGGAGGTATCCCAGATACATGGAAAGCAATTTTATAAGAACCTAAAGAATCATACAATAAACCTGAAAAAAAGAGTCAAAATGAAAATGACAATATTTGGTCAATCTAGTGATGCACCTATTAGTAGTTCCAGTGATCAGTCTTTCATTACTATATTTAAGATCTAACATTAACAAGATAGGACTAGATATGGCCTATCAAGCTGCACTAATTATATAACAAATGACTTTACTTTTAAAAGTCCGACACAGTAGAAGTCTTTTGGCTACAAAGAACTTATTGCTGATTGACTGGATGATCAGAAATATAAATATGTCAAATTTTTACTTCTTGATTATTGTTATCTTCTGGATTGTCAATCAAATATCAAGATGTCTTACAGAAACTTGACATTCAATGTCATTATTGATTAAATAGAATTCATGGACATGAAAAGAAGAAACAGTCAATGACAAGTAAAGTAGTCTTCCGATTAAGGAGTTATGAAAGCATGCCTTTGTTTTTACTGACACTATATTTTGCTAATTACATGTAAGATATGCATGTCAGTTTGTAATGTACCCCAGGCTACATGCTTTAAGATATGAATTTTCTAATGAATGCTCACCAATAAAAGGTTATAATGACACAGACTTTTATTTCTGTGACACTTATATCATACATGTGATCTAAACGTGAGAGACTTGTTATTGATAATGATAGACCGATAACCAAATCTCAATTAAAGTATCTTTCACAGAGTGATAATTATGATAACAAAATGATAACTGAAACCGATTTAGTGTGTTCTCGATTTTTCTATATAATTATGTCATTGTAATTATTTATATTTAGTTAGTCTTGTATAGATCAACATGCGTTTGGCACAATATAGTCTGGATGGGGCAGATATGCCATTAAACGACATTTCATTCATTCATTGTATATAATAATTGTGATTTGCCTATGTTCGAAATGAACAATTAGTATAAATTATGATTTGTCTGATTTTAGAAGATTACAATGATATCAAGGAACTGTCTGCCAAGAATCATTATACAAAGGTGGAAGTCTTTTTAATAGCAATTGCATTTATATGACCCAACTCAAGATATAAAACAGCAAAATGATTTACCTGCTAAAGGTGGTCCCACAGACAGTGGAACAGAGAAGATTCCTAATATAAAACCTATTGCTTGTGATGCTCCACTAGGTCCAACTAAATCAAAGGCTATAGGTCCAATTAAACATATAAACAAACCATCACATAATCCCATAACTAAACAGATTGCTATTAAGCCGTAAAAATTATCAGCAAACGGAATACACAGTGTTGCTACACCAAATATGGCAAAAGCACCCTGCTGCATTCGAATTCTGTTAACACATGGCATATCAGCAAGTTTTCCACAGACAATTCTTCCAACTCCAGATGTAATACTCAAACACATGACTAAATAATTTCCATTAGCATCAGGGAATAAATCTTTACAATGTTTGACCTGAAAAAAAAAGAATTATTCTATGCAGCTGCAAATTAGTTATGTGTATGTTTTCATGATGCTCTAGGAATTCACTTAAATCTATTCAAAGAATCTGTTGAATTATGGATACTTTTTCGCTAGATAACAGAATCTGTCCACAGTGCATGGGTAAGGGATTTGACTCCAACTCATGTTTTAAGAATATTTTGATTTCAACTAGTTGAAATACTTACCAGATGAACAAAAGGTACAAAGTAACCAAACAGTGACATGCCACATGATAGCGCCCATACAACATATCCTCTGTTTCTCCATATTCTTACATTTAGATATTTACGAGTCCATGTACAGAAGGAATTACAATGGTTATATACACTTTCTGTTGACAAGGCTATACCAGCTAATGCGGACTCTGAATGTATCATAGGTTTCCATGTTAAAACACACCCGAATAACAACACATATAAACCCGAGAGAAACAGAAAGGTGTATTTCAGGCCAACTTCTTCAAGTAGAAGCGGAAGTGCCAAAGATAAACCTATGGTAAATATAGCACTACCAAATGTAACTATACCATTCACCAAACCCATGTGCTTTTTAAAATAATGTCCCAATATCACTAATGATGGGGAATAAGCAAAAGCTGATCCAAGTCCAAGGATTAAGCCATAGGTTAAATATAATAGTTCTAACTGTTCTACAAAGGCACTACCAATAAGTCCTATGGTGCCCAGGGTTGCACCAAATGCTGCTGTTTTTCTGATACCAATTTGGTCACTGAAGATACTGGCTATCATACACATTAAGAATGTCATTCCAGTACAAACAGAACCAACCCAGGCTGAAACCAAAAATATATATGTACATATTTTATTCAACTAAAGTTATATCTGAAATTGCCAGTTTATAAAGGCTGGTTGTATGCTGACACCAAAGGTATAGTGAAAACTTATATTCTTACCTTGTCAGAACACATTAATTGTCCTCTACTACTTCTGATATACAAAACTCGAACATGTAAACCTAGGCATGGATTTAAAGGGCGGGGGACCAAGTAAGTGTCCCATGAGACAAAGTAAGTGCCCTTAAGCAGTGGCGTAGCGATGGAGGGGGGGGGGGGCTCCATGGCGACAGCTTCCCCTCCCCTCAGATCCAGTCCAAATAAATTAAAAGCTCAGTATATTACATACCGCTTTCTGAAATTTTTTCATGCCTACAACACTCGATTACATTATGTTATTATTGTTCCACTCCTCTGTGGTCTTAGACTATCTATGACTATCAAATTCACAGTTATAGTGAACCACCCAGTTAGTAGTACCACTAGTGTGTGGGTCGTGGGGTGCAAGATTGTACAAATGTTCTGTCAACTCTAACTAAATAGGCAGAATTGACAGGTAGGTCTTGAGATTCTGTCCCATTTCGAATCCTCTCGTATACAAGAATTTGCTCCCAAATAATAACAAAATCAATAACAATCATAATATGACATGAGCTTTATGTCAACTTGTATAAAAATGCTCTCCGTCGATATAATGATCTATGGGGTGGGATTGTGGATGAAGCTCGAGATTTGCCCCCCCACCTATTCACACCTTACTGTGTAAACCTTTGACAATTTGAATTCATTAACCACCCCAATGACCCCATCCTCTTATAGTTGCCTTAATCAATCATACCCCCTCCAACCCAACAAAAAAAAAAATCAAAAAAAATCTGTTTCCTGAGAATGTATCGACTTTGATAATCAAATTAATTCCTTGCTTTCTTGTAATCCTATATAATAGTTGGAAATCAAACAAGAACACACATTTGTCTTGACTACAGATCTTAATAGTATTAATTAGGTCATTTCATTATCTACATTGTCTTAATGTAATTTATGTTAATAAAGACTACTTACATGTTTTGAAAGAAATACTGGGGTCATCCTTGGCATATTTTTCTCTCATAGAAACATACAGTATTCCAAAAGTATTCAAAATACCAAATACTGTTCCATTAACCCACAGTGAAGTGATACATACGACCCAGCCCCACCCCCCATCTGGCGGTGTGAACTCTGCATTTACATCGACTGTTCTTTTTGGTTTGGGACGGACTGTAATAAATTCATCTTGAGGAACCTGTAGAAAATCCTTTTCCTTGCTTCCATTCGACGTCATTGCTTTTTTTTATCTGAATATTTCTGGAATACTGTTCGACGAACTATCACAGTGAACAGCAACCTATTCCAAGCATTCGACCAGTACAAGTTGAGTCACGGTCACTTTCCGCAGATGATATCTGTGAATGAAAGGTTAAACTCTATACGCCTCCCTTACGAGATAAAAATATAGATATTGTTAACAAGATAATATATCAATGCATTTTATACCTGTCGACATCAATGGTTAAATATGAATGACATATTGTTTTTATTCGGAAAAAGTCTGTAAGAACATTGGGCTGATGTATGTATCATTATCATAGGCCTACAAGTACATCGGACAAAAGATAAAAACTATTACTTCACGTTCAGCACGTTGTATTACACGTAATAAACCACATAGATATATACGCCTTTCGTTGATCTTTGCATAACTATTTACGCATGGTACACTATACCTTATAAACCTGACATAGCACAGGCATGATACATCTTATTTATTACAATGGTCAAAGCTTACATGTTACCTTTCAGATAATACCGTGTACTTGCGCCTGGTCAGGATTGTGATTTAACTGTATCGAGAATCGCCAGCTGACAGTACGTATTAAATGTAACGAGTTCCTCGATCAGCTGTTTGCGGCTTTCTATATTGACATTGGCCTACTATATGTACGTGTTGCCAATCATATATCCTTGTGTTAATTTAATCGAGTGTAGTCAGTGGCAACAGGATCTGAGCTCAGGATATATTTATAATTATGTATTCCTGAAACTGTTAATATGGTGCTAAATAGTACTTTGAGACCAGAGGGTAATTGGGTTAATGATCTTAGCGGGTCGACTTGGGGTTAATTTGGTCAAGATTCGCATTAAAATCGGTCGATGTTCTAAATTCGTTCATAGGAGAATATTGATTTCTTTCTCTAAATTATGTAAACGGAATGGTAGATACCGATATATGGTTTAAAATCAATAGAAACAGATCTGATTGCCAGTTTTGAAAAGAATATATATTTTTGATTTCTACAAGCCTAATCCATTGTCGAGTGCACGGAATTTTTAGTAGCACACTTCTAATTTCAATGGCAACAATTATTGTAGTTCTGATTTTATCTTCAGACGAATTTCGCAATGGAGCTAAAATATAAAAAATATAAAAGAGCATGAAACTGAGGAAAACCATATTTCAGCGGATGAGGTTAAATGTAAACATTAATATTAGACTCGATATACTGCTGACTTTAATGGAATACCCGACTTAAAATACTTTTAAAAGCGTTGCATTTCTATTTGATTTATACGACCGTTTTTAACAAGACCCCGTTTAGTTCGGTGGCTGAAGGTGGGGGGTGGGATCGCCACCCGCGAGCTGTGAATTTATGAGACCAAGTTTTTCAAAACCAGTTTTTTGCGTAGATTCCGAATCTGTGTGGTGATCAGGCGTTTGATGGGGCGTTTTCGGGATATGGGGGTCCAGTGTCTACAATTCGGGGTAATGTAATTATGTTGACATAAATGTTGATCATGTTATATATTAATAAAACATGAATTTCGAGGACTGTTCATCTCTAAATAAGTGTATATGATGCCCCTGGACAACTGTTTTGATTTGTGGGGTGGCGCGGTTGGGGGTTGCAGCTGTGCGTGTGTGGAAGAGTGGGGGTGGGGTAAAATTGGCGGGAAACGAGTTCACGTTGATTTAAATGATTGTTTTTAGTGCTTGGCTCAAATCATTACTTTTTAATGTCGCTGCCCATCCCTAAATATGTGTATATGATTCCCATTGTGTGTGGTGGGAGAAGTGTGTGTGTGTGTGGTGGGAGAAGTGTGGGGGTGGGGGTGTGTGTGTGTGTGTGGCGGGGTGTGTGTGTATTTTTGGAGACAGAAACGGCTTGGTTTAAATCTAACCTGAAAAGTGACTTCTCGTTATCTTTTTTGTTCAGTACCGATTTCGTTATTCAAAATATTAAATTATAATGGTACTCTTCAAGAGATATGGAAATGTAAATAAAAAAAAACATACTATAGACAAGAGACATGTTTAGATATTAGTTTTTTCTTAGTCTTCATCAGAAGATTCAAAATCAAAATTCATAATATTCCCTGGATAAATATCTTATTGATGGCTGATCAACAGCTCGCATATATCCTTTGGATATGCTTCAGATATCCATTCACATTGTAAATCTTCATTCCAGCCTTGTATCGCAGGGTCATCTTGTTCGGTCATTGGTTTTGCAGCTTGTCTCAATATCGTTGCAACATAATTGCTGTGTTTAATGTGCAGCTTGCTAGAAAGACTACTCAGGCAAGATGGTAATAAAGAAAGAAAGGTTTAAAATTTCACAAGGGTCATCTACTGATATAAGTCACCTTTGGCCGTACATGGTAAAAACATGCCGAGGTATGCCGAGTAGCGTATGTTTTTAAAAAATATTTATTAGAATTTAATATAAAAAAAATACGCTGTATAGGCCTACTTGATCGCAAAGTAGACGAAAACCGGTGACTTATCTGAATGTGGGTAGGTTACCTAGTCGCGTTGGTATAGGATTAGAATCGAATTCTGTCAATCCACTATTTCCGTTTGAGACACTCGCCACCGTCAGGGTATCCGAGCCCGGCTGGTTACAAACAAGGGCCTAGCCCGGACCTGTAGAACGCTACAGTGCTGGCGAGCTTCAAAGCACGGAATGATCCGTTTGAATCCAGTTCAACGTGATTTTGGGTACTGGTAGGCCTATATTAAAAAAATTAGCAATGATACAATTTTCTTTTTGATATTTTGATGTCTGATGGTCACGGTTTTTGTTTTTCTATTCGTTTGTTGCTTAAAATTTCCTGTCAAAATCGTGTACATCTGATTATTATTACATCAGTAACACTAAAACATAGTAGGCCTATATGTAGGCCATATTATGTTGTTGTGTTAAATCTAAGTTTCTGTGTTTTAGCAAATTGACCACCCGTTACCCAAGATATACGTCAAAATAACGCTATTGAAACCATGTAGGCCTACCAAAGTATAACTTTTATTAAAACATGTACCTGTATTGGTCCAAAATTACTTAATTCCACCAATTCGTCTCATTTAATTGTCTATATTTTTAAATATAATAATAGTCCATTAGAGAAGAGCGATAAAGGGTGGTAAAGCAGAATGGTCACGCCAGTTTTATTTAAAAAACCAACAAAAAACCGCGAATCCGAATCATGGCTAGGGCCTAGATACATAACATATAGCCATAGCCTACGAAATAGTTTCTCTGAATGTCTGTAAAATTGTGATTTACTAGAAATCTACAACAATCTCAAAATATACAATTTGCAAATGCTACAAATATACATCTAGTCCCAGCAGTGTTTATCAATTAAAAACGGTTTTCCACCTATCCGAAGTGCAGCTGTCTGATGCAGACGCCCGGACACAACGTTCAAAAACATAGTTATCTCCCTTCCTTCATAACGTTTACATGACGTTACACCTATTTTTAGCTGTCACGTGACGTAAACAAGATAGACAACGACCATAAAACATGTTGATAAAATTATATAATCAGTTCTGTTTGATACATTGACGAAGACGAGACATGGAACACAAACTATTAACTATTTTATTGATTGTTAGCATAGTTCTTCAGGATGGTAGTTATGCAGACTTTCCATTTAACAATCCTTCATTACCATGGGATCAAAGAGTTGATGATTTAGTAGGAAGGCTGACTCTTGATGAAATTAAATTACAAATGAGTAAAGGTGGGGCTGGTCCAATAGCAGGCCCTGCCCCAGCCATACCGCGTCTTGGGATTGGTCCATATTCATGGAATACAGAGTGTCTTAGAGGAGACGTTTCGTCTGGAAATGCCACAGCGTTTCCCCAAGCCATTGGACTTGCTGCTTCCTTCAGGTTAGTTACTGTATTTGAGGGTCCACATCTGAACGTGATTAACTATAGTCAGCACATCTTTGAATGTAAATCGCATTTCTACTTGCACGTTGGAAATAGAAAACAACAAGGTAAACGCATGGCCATTTATAACGAGCGAGTGTGGACTCAGAGGATGAGGCCCGAGGGGCCCCTAAATAAGTTCATGTTCTAGCATAGTTTGGGAGCCCTTTTTAGTCTTGAACTAAAGTTGTTGGTCGTTTATAAGCACCATTTACACTTAGTTTCTCGCGCCTAGGGGACAGTCTCGTCCCCTCTCCCAGCCCCTCTCCCAGCCCACCCCTTATTATGAGACCCATGCCTCCCTGGCCAGCCTCCTCGCTCGAGGCAATAAATATCATGTCCATAAATCACGTCGGAATCTCCAGAGCCAGAGGTATCTGCATGGGAAATTATGAAATCCCACAGAAGAAGCAAGGAAAAGACCTATATTTATTGTATAGAATATATATAGATTCTAAATAATTAATGGACAAAATTGTAATTTGGCTTGTCAAATTTACAAAATATGGATGTTATGTTTTAGGAAACTAATATATAGGCCCCCATATCTGCGTAAATTTACCATATTTAGGGGTGCCATATCAAGTATTCATAATTACTGCCAAATTACACGGAATAAGCTGCCTAACCATTAAAACTTATGCTTTGGTTGGTTGGGAAATATTCAGAATCTGATTTAGACGTCTTTTATTTCAGTCCTGATCTGATCTATCGTGTTGCTGAAGCTACAAGTATAGAAGTTAGAGCTAAATATAATGATTATAGTAAAAATAAGATATATGGTGATCATAAAGGTGTTAGTTGTTTTAGTCCTGTTATAAATATAGTCAGAGATCCCAGATGGGGTCGAACACAGGTAAATATAATAGCCAATAGATTGATATTCTTATTCTTATGTAGAACACCCCATACCACTTGGCGAATTAACATAGTTTTATTCAGGGTCGGCCTGGAGGTCTTACGCCCATGTTCCTGTGATATCCTGTTCATCAAACCGTACCAATTCATCAAAACGACATTATAATTCCAGACTAAATAGGGCACCTAAACTACGCGAAAATTGTGACTGCATTAGGGACCCCAAAGTCTACCATACTGGCAGGTTCCTTCACAGCCCATTCTTGGTTTTATTCCTTCTGACCACGACCCTCCTTAAAATACTGTTGGTAGACGTATAATCGTTGCCTGGCAGTGCTGGAGTATTTGTAGTATGCACTAACAAGATTTAAACTCGAGACTGATTATGCAGTTTTAATAATTCGGCCAATTCGAATGTTTTTGTCTCAGCTACACATTTTTAATCAAATATTCATGTATGGCCAAAAAAGATGCCCCAGTTTAAAATTTGGTGTGCTTTTTTTCTATCTTTTGTAAGTTTAAAGCGATCATTTACCTAGGTTAGAAATATGACCTTGGAGACGACAGTATATAATCAGGCGAGAGAGTAAGACAGATGATAGGTTAATATTTGTATTTAATATTTAAAAGAAATAAGCTATCAAGATGTACGTGACCAAAGTTCAATGTAACCTAGATTTTCTTAATCTTATCTAAATATCCTTTAAATGGTCCTCAATTTCGATCCTAGGTCTTATTTTCGACCTAAACAACAAATGTACCACAGCATACTATGAAAATACACCCAGTTCTTCAATACATATTTTGGATGTATTCACCATTATCAATATATAATTGTTGTTTATATTGTGTACAATTGAGTGAAACTTCTGACAAATACGAAAGTTTCTATGAGAAATTGAATAAACTACTAAATAGAATTAAGCTGACTTATATAAATCCATTGACAACAGCACGACATTGTAATGACAGTGTGGGTGCATAATAACCCAAGGTTTATTTTTCCATAAAATAATGTTAAATACAGTGTAAATGATATTTATGTTCACATCTTCTAAAGAGAATGGGAGTTGGATGGCCGAATGGTTAGCACGCGCGCGCTGTATCATAGGTATATTCATTGAGTCAACTGGCGGGGTTTCGATTCTCGGTTGTACGTGAGAAGGAGAAGGGTCGCCTGTCCAACTTCGTGGGTTTTCTCCGGGTATTCCGGTTTCCTCCCACTGCTAAAGACCCCTACGCGCAAGTGAATTATTGAAATAAAAAAATTAAACCATATGTTAGTCCCGAAATGACCTAGTTTGTGTCGAGTGGACGTTAAACCCCATTTCTCTCTCTCTCTTATTTCTAGGCCATAACCGCGTAAATATTTTTTTGCTGGGAATAAATCTAGTTTTAAAAAAAAATCCCCCCCCACCGAAATAAAAACAAAAACAGAAACAAAAAAAGACCCCCCCCCCCCACACACAAACAAACCCAACCTATAATTGTGTTTAACAGTTGGACTTATTTCTTTTTTATTGAATAGGATTTTTGCTGATACAAATGTATATCACAGATGACACTTTTCTATTTTAGAAAATATATCTCAAGTTTTCTCTGAAATCCTGCTCTATTACTTTATGATTATATGTATTTTATTATAGGAAACTTATGGAGAAGATCCTTATTTAAGTGGTGTATTAGCTTCATATTTTGTAAAAGGTTTACAGGGAAATAATACAAGATATATCAGAGCTAATGCTGGATGTAAACATTTTGATGTTCATGGAGGCCCTGAAAATATTCCTGTATCAAGATTTTCTTTTAATGCTCAGGTAACTGCAGTGATACTTGATTAGCGAATGGCCCCATTTTAGTATAGGTAGTACATACTTCATTGCTAAACCCTTACTAACTTAACAGAATAACCCATAATTCGATCTGATTTGGCACAGAATTTGTAATACTTGTCACCATTACCCGAGAATAGCCTATTATTATTATTATTATTATTATTTTCTGCCCTATGATTTTGCTTATAATCAGGTATCAGATAGAGATTGGAGGACGACATTTTTACCCCAGTTTAAAGCGTGTGTTAAAGCTGGTACATATAATTTGATGTGTAGTTACAATAGGTGAGTGACATTTTATAGAAGATTATCTTGATTGACGCCATCATTCAAATACCGTATAATCGAAGAAATGTAGACGAAAATTCCAAAACCTGGACAAATACGGCTATAGCAAACTAACTGGGGGTGATCTAAAGTACAAATAAGCCCGGCCACAAAGATCATGGTGGTTATTTTTTATGATCGTCGACTTAGAACTGTAGCCAAAGCGGTGACTTACGATTTCTTCATGAAAGGGATTAAAAAATAAAAGAAACGACATAAATTATTTTGAAATTGTATTTGTCTATTTTAGAATAAATGGAGTACCATCGTGTGCTAACAAGAAACTATTAACAGATATATTAAGAAATGAATGGAATTTTACTGGTTATATTATAAGTGATCAAGAAGCTATTGAAAATATCATTAAAACACATCATTATTTTAACAATAGTGTTGACACGGTAGCAGCTTGTGTAAATGCAGGCTGTAATTTAGAACTTTCTTCCAATGAAGTGGATCCAGTTTACTTTTCAATGGGTGAGTTTTAATATATACATTATGATATCCAAGTCCCATTCAGATTATCACACATTCAGAACATGTTCATGATCATACATTAAATTTGTATGATGATGTTCATAGGACAAATGTATAATCGTTTGGATTGTTTTCCCTATTGTACCATGTGCAATTTTTCTTTTTCGTCATTAAATTGCAATGTTTGATTTCTATTTATGAAAGTTCGTATAACACAATGTCCAACACACGTAATACATATGTTGTAATACATTTCAAATTAAAACCCACCAATCTATTTCATATATATAGAGGAGGCTATACAACAGGGTAAACTAACAGAAGATATGGTTAGAAGTAGAGTTAAACCATTATTTTATACCAGAATGCGGCTTGGTGAATTTGATCCACCTTCCATGAACCCCTATACCAAGTTAGATTTATCAGTTGTACAGAGTAAAGCTCACCAAGCTTTAGCTCTGGAGGCAGCTATTAAATCTTTTGTTCTGCTTGAAAATGATGGACAATTTCTACCTAGAAAATCTTTCGACTCTGTTGGCGTGAGTATATATTGTAAAACGGAAACCCATAATCACGTGCCAACTGCAATATTGTGAAAGTTGGATCTCTGAAAGGAATATCAGTCCCAACATTTAGCGTCATCTGTAGACCATATAAAAAAAATCAGTGTATAACCTTTGGATGCCGGGAGATGTTACCGATATGCTAACAATTGTTTACATTTGTCGTTAATTGTCTGTTCAATTGTGGTTTAATAATTGATGTCATGCATTTTTCTGTTTTTTTTGTTTTCTGAATTTTTACAATATTGGTCACTGGGGGTTAAGAAAACAAACAATTACAATTCGTGGGTCGAGGATTAATTGGCATAAAAACTATCCGTGAATCAACAGGTTTTGTGAGCATGATTTAATACAGGAACGCCCCCTACATTAAATTGCCAAAAAACGCAAAGGCTTTTGTTTTAATTTTGGGTTCATTCCCGCTCACAAAGTTCTATGTCCACTTTCATCAGTAGAATTCCTGGATCTGGTGTCATATAATCTTGTGACAAATGGTTGAAAAGGAAAATAGTATGGCTGGATTTCCAAGGCAGAAAAGTCATCTTAAGGCGCTTAGAATATTGTCTGACAATGAAATCTTGGATCTATTAGAAAGGTATTGATTGTTAGGTACCTTAAGACGGCTTAATTTTTTGTCGAAACCCTGTTTTTAATTGGTTTTAAGTGTTCATTTGATTCAAACATGTATTGTATGTAAATGTAAAATGTACACAGTTGATGGAGATGGAACTAGTTGAAGCCAAGGCCCAATTTGCATTGCCTGCATACGTTATGTAACGTTACCCTTTCGGTGCCGGACGTCGAGAGTTCTCAACACGGATTATTTCCATTAGAATGCCAGACGTCTAGAGGCAGTACGTTTAGTTCCCAGTACCGCTAATAGGTAGCTGACTCTCATTTTGCCTTTTACTTCCGTTTTCTTTAAGAATTTGTGCAAATTGGCATGGAATGGGGCCAAAAACGTTGTTTTCGTCCCAAAAAGTCGTGATATTTATGAAAAACACCCCTTTTAAAACTATATGATTCAGACCTTCTTTCGGCATAAAGTTCTACCTCCTTGTGCCTGACAAATTCACAAGATTTTGTAAACCACAAAGTCCTATCTCCATATATCGTATTTCAGTTAGACCAAATTGAATCACGCTGCATTGAGAAGCACCACACACTCGGCTACCTTCTTTTATTGATTGCTTCAACAACTGTGAACATTTGGTAAAAATTCATAGAATTTCAAAATAAAGTGATGCAAACCTTCACACCCATTTTTCTCAATTCAACAAAAAGTGGACATAGAACCAGTTAATTCTCAGCCCACGAATTGGTAAACCATTCCTGGTTGCAATTACAATTGATAAACGATCCCTGGCTGCACCAATTGCTACATTTTTAATAATTGGAGCTTGGTGCAAATGTTTCCATTTCATTTTGAATAATAGGTTGTGGGTCCAATGGCTAATAACATACAACAATTGTTTGGTGATTATTCTCCTGATGTTAATCCAGCCTTGACAAAAACACCGCTACAGGCTTTTCAACAAGTTGCATCTTCTGTACAATACGGGGCTGGATGTCAGGATAACAGATGTAAACAGTATTCTAGTACAGAAATACAACAAGCTGTTAAAGGTGTAGATGAAGTCTATGTCTTCCTTGGAACAGGTACACATTTTTATACATCCACATTTTATATGGGAGAATATTGTCGTCAATCCGACGCTTTTTTTAGATGGGGTTATTGCTATTGTCTGTTTATAAATTATTGGAACAATCGTGAAATATCGAGCTTTGAAATTTGGTCTGAACTAACATGGTTTAAAAACGATAATAGATTACAGGAATTTATCTAGAATGTTTTCGTGAAATGAGATAGAAATGATGTTGTATTTATAATCTTGGTTTACAGGACAAGAAGTTGAGAGTGAGGGGAATGACAGACCAAATCTGGAACTACCAGGAATGCAAAAACAACTTCTTCTAGATACTATACACTATGGTAAACATGATTATTTTGTAGCTCTTTTAGATGCTTATTTGTAAGCATCACCAGCTCCTGGAATACTTGTCAAAATGATCTCTTTGATATGTAGGCGAGAGTGAAACAGAACTCGATTAAAAGCTTCACACGATTGCTTGTGAACTTCAACGAAAACGTTTATCTAAGGTTGTTCTTTACACTAAGCCATCCGTGGACGGACCAGAGTGAACGTGCCCATTTTGATTTTGTAGACACCAAAATATGTAATACATGTATTATTATACACCTTTACGGTAAATTAGCGGATGGCTCATAACATAATTTCTTAATAGCTTCATTTCTATTCGATTCTTACAGCACATAGGATCCCGTTAGTCACAGCCCAAAAGCATGCGATCAATTTATATATATACAGTATAAGTTTGAAAGATTAAATATTAAACTACCAAGTGACAATGGGTATCATCCAGGCATTTAAAAACTTAAAATACTCAGGATAACGTAGTTAATTACAGTTTATTCTTGTGGATTCGTGTTATTTTTGGATCATTTAATACCATTTTAGAAGACATTTTATTACTGAGATACTTTTTATTTCACTTACAGCTAATGGTACGCCTGTTGTAGTGGTATTGTTTAATGCTGGCCCACTAAACATTAGTTTTATTGATAAAATAACTCAGGTACCAGCTATTATAGCTTGTTTCTTCCCAGCTCAAGCTACAGGAGATGCTCTTATAGATATCCTATTAAATAGAAACGGCGCTGTACCTTCAGCTAGACTACCAATAACATGGCCAATGGCCATAGAACAGGTATGTTACCAAATATATTATATACAGTAATTGTTCTATACCACCAACTTATCCAGAACAGTTATGTTTCATCAAAGAAATTGAAATTAGTAAGGACGCTTATAGGTTACAAACTATGACAGAGCAGAATCTAATTGTTACATATTTATATCCAAAAATATTACCGCAACCATAACGCTGCACTGCTGTTTCATGGTAAACGACGAAAACATAAAAGGTATGCCGACAAAAATTGATATCAACACTGGTTCAATAACATTTGAACATTTTAAAGTACTTTTTCGCTCATCTGGGGAGCTCGTCAAAAATATTGTCATATATATTAATACCATCTATAACAAGGTATAGCATGATTGATAGAACGTATACACATGTAACGTATAGATATTGATACATATAATAAACTATATTATCATGATTGATAGAAGAACATATACAAATTGATAACATCTATAACAAAGTATACCATGATTGATAGAACGTATACACATGTAACGTATAGATATTGATACATATAATAAACTATATTATCATGAACATATACAAATTGATAACATCTATATACCATGATTAGTAGAACGTATATAAATGGAAATTGATACCATCTATAACAAAGTATGCCATAATGGATAGAACGTATATACAGATGGAACGTATAAATATTAATACCATCTATAACATAGCATACCATGATTGGTAGAACGTATAAAAATGGAACGTTTAGATATTGATACCATCTATAACACAGTAGACTATGATGGATAGAAAGTATACAAATGGAACGTATAGATATTGATACAAAGTATACCAAGATTGGAAGACCGTATAGACAAATGGAACGTATGGATATTAATACTGTCTATAACAAAGTTTACCATGATTGATAGAACTGATACAAATGAAGCGTATAGATACTGATAATATCTATAACAATTTATACCATGATTGATAGAACGGATAACTATAGGCACCAGCATGTTTAAATTATGATAGAATTATTGATATGTAATTATTACAGATACCAACCATTATAGATATTTTATTATTACAGGTACCACATATCACAAATTATACCATGGTTGGTAGAACTTGTAGATATTTTATTATTACAGGTACCGCCTATTACAAATTATACCATGGCTGGTAGAACTTATATTATATATTTTATTATTACAGGTACCATCTACCATAGTTGGTAGAACTTATGTTATATATTTTATTATTACAGGTACCACCTATTACAAAATTTGTAATAGGTGGTACCTGTCATATCTATTTAATTATACCATGGTTGGTGGAAGTTATAGATATTTTATTATTACAGGTACCACCTATTACAAATTATACCATGGTTGGTAGAACTTACAGATATTTTAATGGTGTACCTCTCTATCCATTTGGATACGGCTTGTCATATACTAGATTTGGTTACAGTAATCTAAAAATACCAACAAGTATTATGGCCGGAATGGACTTAACTGGGTCTGTTGATATATCAAATATTGGAGGTGTGGCTGCTGAAGAAGTAAGTAAAATATATTCTTATTGGAAGACTGAACACTAATTATGTCTAATATGCATTTTTACCTGCCGAAATATGTTGAACATTTTCTCGGAAAGTGTTGTAACTCTTTAAATAATTCCGGAAATATGCTGATAAAGAAAGATTCTAATATGATGTTAACTGATTTAAGTATGCACGTTTCACACAAACTATAGTACCATAAACCTTATAATGAATAGTGTAATAGTAGGTGGGCTTACAGGTAGATGTACCAAAGTATCTGGTGTTCCTATGTGTACCAGGTGTTTCCAAAAGTGAAGGGGTAAGCTCGCTCGGACTTGTGCGCTACATCCTTACTTACCTTTGAAGATCCAGAATCACCCTTAAACATTCAGGAGCACGAATTCGTGGAATTTTCAAAAAAAGAAGCAATGTTAGATGCTTTGAAAGTAATACCCCTACTCTGTAGCGAAAGCCACCACTACTGTAATAAGGTACTTATGTTGGACAGATACAATATGGACATGGTTGCATAACAATAAGACTCAAATGTACTTCATCACCATGGCGTAAAGTCATATAGTTTTAAGTGCATCTCTAAACAATTATACATGCACATATTTTTTTATTACCTCAGGTTTACCAAATTTACATTAGGTGGATGCAACCATCTGTTACAGTACCTCAAATTCAATTGGCTGATTTTAATAGAGTAGCTGTTGGCGTTGGTCAGACGGTTACAGTTAATTTTACAGTAAAGGCTGAAAGTATGGCGGTATGGATAGATTCTAATAGAGGTTGGGTGATAGAACAAGGTATATTTAATATTGTTCGTTTTACTTTTTTAGAACATGTTTTTGATGCGTATAATCGAATAATCAGGGATTTTGCTATCATATTTGTGCAGTATCGGGTAACTGAAACCAACTGGCAGATAGAAAACTACTCTATAGATGCGTAATAAGACGTTGTGAATACGTTAAATATGTAGTGAAGAAAATCAGAACCCTAAAGAAGAAACGAAATAGAGATATTATTTTATTAAAATCTAGGGCGGCTTATTCTGTAACGGTTTTGATTTTATATTTTAACAGATTTCTTTTAGCAGTGTTTTGACCTATTTTACAGTCCTTGCATAATGTATCTTTCAGGTTATATGAGTTTATATGCTGGTGGTAAACAACCTTTTCAGAGAGGAGCAAAGGGATACCAGGAACTTGTTGCAACATTCCTTATTAAACAGTCTAGATTTATCGGAAAATATTAAATTAGATGTTATCAACAGTAATAAAAATTAAGCCATGTTTTCGTATTTGTTATGTATGTTATATTTTATAATTTGTTATTGTTTTTGCACTGTATGAATAAACTTATGATAATATAGGCCTTGTTTAAATTAAGAAGTATTCAAAATACGCTTTGCAACAACCTCATTTTACCACAGGAACGGTGGTGATACCGACGGATTTTGCAGTCACACTTCTATACAAGATAGAGAAATCCCTCAAAATTATATTCTATTTAGATATTATTACTTACACACGACGCCTGCTGAATCTGTAAAATATAGACGGTTTGTCCTGTCATAATATAATGATCTAGGGGGTTGGGTGGCCGAATGGTTAGCGCGTGTCATTGAGTCATATGGCGTGGTTTCGATTCCTCGGTTGTACGTGACAACATATGGTGACAAGGAGTAGGGTCGCCAGTCCAACTTCGTTGGGTTTCTCCGGGTCCTCAGGTTTCCACCTATTTCTAAAGATCCCTACGCGCAAGCGTATTATTGAAATAAAATTGGACCATAAGTTAGTCCCGAAATGACCTAGTTTGTGTCTAGTGGACGTTAAACCCCATCTTTCTCTCTCCCTCTCCTGTTTAGACAAAATGTCTGATTTGCTAGTCAAATACAAAAAATACTAGTTGAGGATATACATATAAGACGAAACGAAATTTAGGTAAGCCTCGGGGGAAAGATTGATATTTTTAAAAAAATTGAGAATCTTCAATCATTTATTGCTTTGCCTAGCGCAATTACAAGAATTTTCAATCAAATTTTTTTCAAAAATCCCAACTTTGTTTCACCTGCTTACCTAAATTTCGTTTCGTCTTATATGGCCGAGTTACGTAAATTTGTACGTTACCCTATATTTAGATTTCAATGGCGTCTGCCAAGCCGTTTAGCAAAAGGGAACGTATTTTTACACCTATATTTAGCTGACACGTGACATAAACAAGATAGACAACGAACATAAAACATGTTGATAAAATTATATAATCAGTTCTGTTTGATACATTGACGAAGACAAGACATGGAACAAAAACTATTAACTCTTTTATCGATTGTTAGCATAGTTCTCCAGGATGGTAGTTATGCAGACTTTCCATTTAACAATCCTTCATTACCATGGGATCAAAGAGTTGATGATTTAGTAGGAAGGCTGACTCTTGATGAAATTAAATTACAGATGAGTAAAGGTGGGGCTGGTCCAATAGCAGGCCCTGCCCCAGCCATTCCACGTCTTGGGATTGGGCCATATTCATGGAATACAGAGTGTCTTAGAGGAGACGTTTCGTCTGGAAATGCCACAGCGTTTCCCCAAGCCATTGGACTTGCTGCTTCCTTCAGGTTCGTTACTGTATTTGAGGGTCCACATATCTGAACGTGATTAACTATAGTCAGCACATCTTTGAATGTAAATCGCACTTCTACTTGCACGTTGGAAATAGAACACAACAAGATAAACGCATGGCCATTTATAACGAGCGGGCGTGGACTCAGAGGGTGAGGCCCAGGGGCCCCTAAATAGCATAGTTTGAGAGCCCTTTTTAGTCTTGAACTAAAGTTGTTGGTCAATTATAAGCACCATTTACACTTAGTTTCTCGCGCCTGGGGGGGACAGAACCCCAAGAGTGGGGACCCCTCACGGGGTCAGTCTCCTCCCCTCTCCCAGCCCATCTCTTATGAGATCCATGCCTCCCTGGCCAGCCTCCTGGCTCGAGGCAATAAATATCATGTCCATAAATCACGTCGGAATCTCCAGAGCCAGAGGTATCTGTATTGGAAATTATGAAATCTAACAGAAGGAAGTCAAACTTTTTTTTGATGAGAAGCACTATTGAGGGTTTTCATCGCAATTAAAGCAACTCTTAGACTGTACTTAGGAACAAGGAAAAGACCTATATTTATTGTATAGAATATAGATTCTAAATAATTAATGGACAAAATTGTAATTTTAGACTAACACATGGCTTGTCAAATTTACGGGAGCCACGGTAGCTAGGTGGTTAAGACGCTGGCTCGCTAGCCTGGAGGTCGGATGTTCGATTCCTGCATTGGCCGAGAAAGTTCATCTGGATTTTCCGACGTGGTTTCCCCCTTGTCAGTGGTGCAGAACGGAGGGCCTGACAAGGACAGCTGTCTAGTTATTCGGATGAAACGAAAACCCGAGGTCCTGTGTATACATTGGAATGCACGTAAAAGATCCCTTGGCAGTTGGAATTCGATATAAGAGTAGGCGATAGTGCCGCTGCCCGGACAAAATTTCCCTCATAGCACACTGTATGGCGTACGCCCGTCTTCATTAGCCCAGTATAGGAGCAGAACAGTAGGACGTTAAACCCCATTTCATTTCATTTCATTTGTCAAATTTACAAAATATGGATGTTATGTTTTTAGGAAACTAATATATAGGCCCACATATCTGCGTAAATTTACCATATTTTGGGGTGTCATATCAAGTATTCAAGATTACTGCCATATCAAGTATTCAAAATTACTGCAAAATTTCACGGAATAAGCTGCCTAACCATTAAAACTTATGACTATGCTTTGGTTAGTTGGGAAATATTCAGAATCTGATTTAGACGTCTTTTATTTCAGTAAAGATCTGATCTATCGTGTTGCTGAAGCTACAGGTATAGAAGTTAGAGCTAAATATAATGATTATAGTAAAAATAAGATATATGGTGATCATAAAGGTGTTAGTTGTTTTAGTCCTGTTATAAATATAGTCAGAGATCCCAGATGGGGTCGAACACAGGTAAATATAATAGCCAATAGACTGATATTCTTTTTCTTATGTAAAACACCCCATACCACTTCTCATTAATTTGGTGAATTAACATAGTTTTATTCTGGGTCCGCCTCGAGGCCTTACGCCCGGTGCCTGTTCCTGTAATATCCTGATTATCAAACCGTACCAATTCATCATTATAACGTCATTATAATTCAAGACTAAATAGGGCACCTAAACTACGCGAAAATTGTGACTGCATTAGGGACCCCAAAGTCTACCATACTCGGAGGTTCCTTCACAGCCCATTGTTGGTTTTATTCCTTCTGACCACGACCCTCCTTAAAATACTGTTGGTAGACGTATAATCGTTGCCTGGCAGTGCTGGAGTATTTGTAGTATGCACCAACAAGATTTAAACTCGAGACTGATTATGCAGTTTTAATAATTCAGCCAATTCGAGTGTTTTTGTCTCAGCTACACATTTTTAATCAAATATTCATGCATGGCAAAAGAAGATACCCCGTTTCAATATTTGATGTTTTTTTTTTTCTATCTTTTGTAAGTTTAAAGCGATCATTTACCTAGGTTAGAAATATGACCTTGGAGACAACAGTATATAATCAGGCGAGAGAGTAAGACAGATGATAGGTTAATATTTGTATATAATATTTAAAAGAAATAAGCTATCAAGATGCACGTGATCAAAGTTCAATGTAAACTAGATTTTCTTATTCTTATCAAAATATCCCATAAATGGTCCTCAATTTTGTTCCTAGGTCTTTTTTTCGACATAAACAACAGAGAGAGAGAGAGAGAGAGAGAGAGAGAGAGAGAGATGGGGTTTTACGTCCACTCGACACAAACTAGGTCATTTCGGGACTAACATATGGTTTAATTTTATTTCAATAATTCGCTTGCGCGTAGGGGTGTTTAGCAGTGGGACGAAACCGGAGGACCCGGAGAAAACCCACGAGGTTGGACAGGCGACCCTACTCCTTGTTACGTACAACCGGGGATTCGAAACCATGCCAGTTGACTCAATGTCAGGCCTGATGATACAACGCGCAGCGCGCACGTGCTAACCATTCAGCCATCCACCCCCACCCCCTACCTAAACAACAATTTTACCACAGCATACTATGAAAATACACCCAATTCTTTGTGCTAAAAAAATGACTAAAACAATATTCAACAATACATATTTTAGATGTATTCACCATGATCAGTATATAATTGTTGTTCATATTGTTTACAATTGAGTGAAACTTCTGACAAATACGAAAGTTTCTATGAGAAATTGAATAAACTACTAAATAGAATTAAGCTGACTTATATAAATGAAATGAAATGAAATGAAATGGGGTTTAACGTCCTACTGTTCTGCTCCTAGCCTGGGCCAATGAAGACGGGCATACGCCATACAGTGTGCTTTGAGGGAAATTTTGCAGCGGCACTATCGCCTACTCTTATATCGAATTTCAACTGCCAAGGGATCTTTTACGTGTTCGCCAATGTGTACACGGGACCTCGGTTTTTCGTCCCATCCGAACGATTAGACAGCTGTCCTTGTCAGGCCCTCTATCCTGCATCACTGACAACTGCACAGCAGTGTAGTGACAGTGTGTGTGCATAATAACACAAGGTTTTTTTTTCCATGTAAAATAATGTTAAATACAGTGTAAATAATATTTATGTTCTCATCTTGTAAAGATAATGATTTTGCTGGGAATAAATCTAGTTTAACCCCCCCCAAAAAACCGAAAAAAAATAAAAATAAACAACCTATAATTGTTTTTAATAGTTGCTGGGAATAAATCTAGTTTAACCCCACCCCCACCCCCAGCCAAAAAAAAAAAACCCGAAAAAGAAATAAATAAATAAACAACCTATAATTGTTTTTAATAGTTGGACTTATTTCTTATTTATTGAATAGAATTTTTGCTGATACAAATGTTTATCACAGATGACACTTTTCTATTATAGAAAATATATCTCAAGTTTTCTCTGAAATCCTGCTCTATTACTTTATGATTATATGTATTTTATTATAGGAAACTTATGGGGAAGATCCTTATTTAAGTGGTGTATTAGCTTCATATTTTGTAAAAGGTTTACAGGGGAATGATGCAAGATATATCAGAGCTAATGCTGGATGTAAACATTTTGATGTTCATGGAGGTCCTGAAAATATTCCTGTAACAAGATTTACCTTTAATGCCCAGGTAACTGCAGTGATACTTGATTAGCGAATGGCCATATTTTAGTACAGGTAGTTCATAATTCATTGCTAAACCCTTACTAACTTAACAGAATAACCCATATTATTATTATTATTATTATTATTTTCTGCCCTATGATTTTGCTTATAATCAGGTATCAGATAGAGATTGGAGGACGACATTTTTACCCCAGTTTAAAGCGTGTGTTAAAGCTGGTACATATAATTTGATGTGTAGTTACAATAGGTGAGTGACATTTTATAGAGGATTATCTTGGTTGACGCCATCATTCAAATAACGTATAATCGAAGAAATGTAGGCGAAAATTCCAAAACCTGGACAAATCCGGTTATAGCAAACTAACTGGGGGTGATCTAAAGTACAAATAAGCCCGGCCACAAAGATCATGGTGGTTATATTTTTATGATCGTCGACTTAGAACTGTAGCCAAAGCGGTGACTTACGATTACTTCATGAAAGAGATTAATAAATAAAAGAAACGACGGAAATTAATTTGAAATTGTGTTTTTCTATTTTAGAATAAATGGAGTACCATCATGTGCTAACAAGAAACTATTAACAGATATATTAAGAAATGAATGGAATTTTACTGGTTATATTATAAGTGATGAAGAAGCTATTGAAAATATCATTAAAACCCATTATTATTTTAACAATAGTGTTGACACGGTAGCAGCCTGTGTAAATGCAGGCTGTAATTTAGAACTTTCTGCCAATGAAGTGGATCCAGTTTACTTTTCAATGGGTGAGTTTTAATATATACATTATGATATCCAAGTCCCATTCAGATGATCACACATTCAGAACATATTTGTATGATGATGTTCATAGGACAAATGTATGATCGTTTGGATTGTTTTCCCAACTATAAGTTGTGCCATGTGCAATTTTTCCTTTTCGTGATTAAATTTCAATGTTTGATTTCTATTTATGAAAGTTCGTATAACACAATGTCCACCACACGTAATACATATGTTGTAATATATTTCAAATTAAAACCCACTAACCTATTTCATTTATAGAGGAGGCTATACAACAGGGTAAACTAACAGAAGATATGGTTAGAAGTAGAGTTAAACCATTATTTTATACCAGAATGCGGCTTGGTGAATTTGATCCACCTTCCATGAACCCCTATACCAAGTTAGATTTATCAGTTGTACAAAGTAAAGCCCACCAAGCTTTAGCCCTGGAGGCAGCTATTAAATCTTTTGTTCTACTTAAAAATGATAAAGACTTTTTACCCAGAAAAACATTTAATACCGTTGCTGTGAGTATATATTGTAAAACGGAAACCCATAATCACGTGCCAACTGCAATATTGTGAAAGTTGGATCTCTGAAAGGAATATCAGTCCCAACATTTAGCGTCATCTACAGACCATATAAAAACATCAGTGTATAACCTTTGGATGCCGGGAGATGTTACCGATATGCTAACAATTGTTTACATTTGTCGTTAAGTGTCTGTTCAAAGTTATGAGTGGTTTAATAATTTTTCTTTTATTTGTTTTCTGAATTTTTACAATTATGGCCATTGGGGGTTAAGAAAACATAACAATTACAATTCGTGAGTCGAGGATTAATTGGCATAAAAACGCATAGGCTTTTGTTTTAATTTTGGGTTCATTCCCGCTCACAAAGTTCTATGTCCACTTTCACTAGTAGAATTCCTAGATCTGGTGTCATGTGATCTTGTGCCGAATGGTCGAAAAGGAAAATAGTATTGCTGGAATTCCAAGTCATCTTAAGGCGCTTAGAATAATGTCCGACAATGAAATCTTGGATCTATTAGAAAGGTATTGATTGTTAGGTACCTTGAAACGGCTCAATGTTTTTGTCGAAACCCTGTTTGATATAGTACTAGTTAATCCTCATTCAAACATGTATTGTATGTAAATGTAAAATGTACACAGTTGATGGAGATGGAACTAGTTGAAACCAAGACCCAATTTGCATTGCCTGCATACGTTATGTAACGTTACCCCTTTCGGTGCCGGACGTCGAGAGTTCTCAACACGGGTTATTTCCATTTGAATGCCAGACGTCGAGAGGCAGTACGTTTAGTTCCCAGTACCGCTAATAGGTAGCTGACTCTCATTTTGCCTTTTACTTCCGTTTTCTTTAAGAATTTGTGCAAATTGGCATGAAACGGGGTCAATAACGTTGTTTTCGTACTAAAAAATCGTGATATTTATGAAAAACACCCCTTTTAAAACTAAATGATTCAGACCTTCTTTGGGCATAAAGTTCTATCTCCTTGTGCCTGACAAATTCACAAGATTTTGTAAACCACAAAGTCCTATCTCCATATATCGTATTTTAGTTAGACCAAATTGTATCACACTGCATCGAGAAGAACCACACACTCGGCTAGCTTCTTTTGTTGATTGCTTGAACAACTGTGAACATTTGGTAAAAATTCATAGAATTTCAAAATACAGTGATGCAAACCTTCACACCCATTTTTCTTAATTCAACAAAAAGTGGACATAGAACCAGTTAATCCTCAGCCCACGAATTGGTAAACCATTCCTGGTTGCAATTACAATTGGTAAACCATCCCTGGCTGCACCAATTGCTACATTTTTAATCATTGGAGCTTGATGCAAATTTTTCCATTTCATTTTGAATAATAGGTTGTGGGTCCAATGGCTAATAACATACAACAATTGTTTGGTGATTATTCTCCTGATGTTAATCCAGCCTTGACCAAAACACCGCTACAGGCTTTTCAACAAGTTGCGTCTTCTATACAATACGGGGCTGGATGTCAGGATAACAG